TATTCCCATGACAACATTCTAGCATTAAGAAGCATGTTGCATGATACCAACTGGGAACTGTTTACTGACGATAAGTTGGATGCTACTGTCTCTAATATAACCGATTATCTAAAGTTTTGTTTGGATATTTGCTGTCCTTATGAAACACTGTTTTCGAGATTTGACAGAATCTCTTCTTTGCAACTCAAAAAACTTAGAAGACAAAAAGAGAAGTTGTATAAGAATTGTGATAATACTGGTGTCCGTAAAATAAACACCCTTATAAAAATTGAAATAGAAAGGTTGAACAGACTATATAATGAAAAATTTTTATCATGTAAAAATCCTTCAAACATTTGGAAACTTTTCAATAAACTAACAAGTAAAAAACAAATGTCCGTTGATGTTTATTCTGATGTAATGCTTTAAACAAATCATTTATCAAGAAACAAATTAATATGGTTGTACCTGATGTACCTAGTCAAGAAAATGGTCATTTTCAGGGTTTTGAAGAAAAGGATGTACTATTATGTTTGAAGTCATTAAATCCAACACACAGCCTTGGTCCAGATGGTGTACCAAGCATTCTTCTCCAAAAGTGTGCAGACATCTTGTGTCATCCTCTTACTCAAATCTTTAACGCATCATTTAAGAGGGAAACGGTACCTGCTGACTGGAAAGAAATCAAGGTTGTACCTGTACAGAAATCATCTTCTGGAGCAGGTATAAAGTTTAGACCAGTCGCTATAACATCTCCTTTTTTGAAAACTATGGAGAAACTTCTTTTGTATATTCTTAAACCTTCTTTAAAAGCTTTTAGTGACCCTAAGCAGTTTGCTTATAAGTGTGGAAGAAGTACATTAGATGCAGCCATTGTACTACACCACAATATTGTTTCCTGCCTTGATAAGGGTACTAAGTTCGTTCGAACAGCTTTTTTAGACTATACTGCAGCTTTCGACTCTGTTCCTAGGACACTTTTATTAGGAAAGATGATTTCAGCTTAAACAGAGTCCTGGGCAACTAGATGGCTGTCTTCTTATTTTAAGGATAGGAAACAGCATACTGTTTTGGCTGGAAAGCGCTCCACTTCCCAGCTAACTGAAAGTGGTGTGCCTCAAGGTGCAGTACTTTCTCCATTTCTTTTCTCTTTCTTTCTGCATGACCTTCCGAACTCACCCAAAGTTAACTTCATTAAGTATGCTGATGACCTGACTGTTTCTGTCCCTGTAGTTGCCACATCGGATTGATCCTATATGAATGGCTTCCTAGCTGAAGTTAAGGATTGGTCTCGCTCAAATGGTCTTAAACTAAATAAAACTAAATGTAACACTGTTGATTTCAGCTTGAGAAGTGAAAAAGATATGCATGGATTGATTCAATCTCATGATTGTTGTAACATTGATGGTACCATGATTGAGAGTAAGTCAAGTGTTTCTTATCTTGGCATTAGTTTCTCGTCAAATCTTTGCTGGTCGTCTCATATTCTTATAGTTTCTAAGAAAGTTTTCCGTCTGACTTATTACATAAAGAAGTTGAGACACTCAGGTATAACTCAATCTCTTATCATACAATTTATTAATTCATGTGTTTTGCCCATCATTCTTTATTGTTCTCCATTATTCTTCCCTGGGCTACTCAAGAAAGATCATATAATACTACGAAGAACATTGAGGGCTGTAAGTAGGGTCAGTGCTATCCCTTTGACTGAACTAAATGACACTGTTGTCAATAGGCATATGAATTCTTGTAAACACTTAGCTAAAGTTATCTTATCTGATAGTGAACATCCACTTTATTCACAATTGTTTCCTTGTATCTCTTCGGGTAAGACCAGAAGAAATTTTATAAACATTTATGCTCGTACTACAAAATATAAAAATTCGACCGTTCCATATTTGGCACGAGTATTGTGTGAAGAGACAAATATCAGAAAAGAACTTTTACAACTTTTGAATCAATAACTAAACTATAAAATGAAATGATGCATATTAATGCATGTGTTATTTGTTATATTATTTATTTATTATTCACTATGACCTAGAAATGGTATGATTTTGTTGGGTTTTTTTATTTTTATTTTTTTTTTTTATTATTTTTTCCTATTAACTATCAATATTTTAACATTTTATATATTTATATAATTATAAACAGAGCTAAACCATTGCAATATGTAAAAGAAACGCTGAAAATTCCATGCTGTAAATTGTTATTGTTGTGGAATAAAGTGATTATTATTATTATTATAGTATTAGTAGTAGTGATAACATTAGACGAAAACGTTGGCTTTTACACACAGACTATAAGATCAAAATCACTCTGGCTCCTGAGCCTAAATAATTAATCAATGGGACTTAAGTAGTAGTCAGAATTGTGTGCACGTTTGTTTCTTGAAAGTAAGAAAAATCAGCAAGCAGTTGGGAGACTTTGTTAGATACAGACAGACAGACAGATGTAAACGCATTTATTCTTACATTTTTTCTCTCTAGTGTATTGAATGTATGTATTGAATTAAGCTGAGCAGACTCTTATCTTTCGGTACATTTTCAAACTTCATCACTTTTTTGTGACGATGCTGCATGGAGCCGACCAGTCGACCAAGACTTCAACTACCTGTTTCGATTCATTCAGCAGCCGTTCAACCTCTCATGAACAACCTGGTACGATACGACAGAGGGTGGGTCGGTCTTCCTCACGAAATGCCTTTATGTAGCTATTCGTTCACTGTCTCAGCCATACTACCACTGCCTTCATGCGGCACGGGTATTCTTCGCAAAAGTGAATGTAAACGTCTGGTGCTTATAACTGAATTGATGGACATTTTCAGGGGAGCTGAAATACCGTGATTGCAAACCTATGGTGCACATGATCTCCACAATCCGAGTGTGTCTGATGGCGTATCAGCTTGTTTTGGTTACTGGTAATCGTGGGAAGGTAGGTAGCTGCCCCACTCACTGCCTTGTAGACCAAACTTTAAGTTAAAAGGCGGTAGGCGTCTGGCCTCTTAAGATAACCGCCTGCTTCGGTCTGGGCCTCCGGACAGTATCCCCCAGTGCATCTCTTGGTGCCCATAAAGTACCAAGCTTGTTTTAAATGAACGATAATTCAGTCAGGTGGGCATAACTATGCATTATAACTATCTGCGTAATTTACTAGTAGTATAGGGAACTAGTGGAGCAAAGGAAGATTAATTAAAACTTAATTAAAGTATCGACAACTTACACTGCTATTCCCGCTGTCTTTTTCCTTATTGTCCTTTTAATTCTCCCCGTCTGGGTCATTAAGCGCTCTGGTAGTGAGCAGTATCTTTTTATTGTTATTAAGATGGATACCAACAAAAAATATTTGGTGTTATTATATTGCCTATAACTAACTAGTTTTCAATTTTCCCTGATTTTTCTACCTATCTAACTAACTAGCTAAGTAATTACCAAGAACCCAATAAATATTATAGTGTTTGAAAATTACTTGGAATATCATTTGTTCTATGGATCTACGAATACCACATTTCGAGCTGTTCGGATGGTTATTCATTGGTTTTCCTATTGGGATAATCAACAACGTCGATTATTCCTGTCTATATGGGATAACTTGGAGGAAATCTATCCCCTATTATCTAGTGAACCACAAGCAACGACTTATTCAAACAATCATAATGATAATGTCAGCGATATACTGACGGATATATTCTTTGCAGACTTGATTAGTTCTAATCTACAAATCGATCATGCACCATCTACTGTATTCGAATTTCAATTGTTCTTATTTCGCATCTGGTATCCTCAGTGGCCAATGGAACAACGTCTTCAGCTTATAAATAGTTTAGAAGTGTATTATATGTTGTTGGATTGATGACGATTACCAATTATCGAATTGAATAGTGTTTGACATTATTGTTCTTCTTTAACGATCTCTGTGTCCACCTTGTTTTTTTATAAGTAAACCTTAGAAAAGACACATATGTCTATCTGGTTTCAATTGTAAATTTCAGCATTAAACTGAGTGAGTGAGTGTGCATATATCTGTGTGAGTTTGGTGTGTGTGTGTGAAGTGGACTCTATCTAACTCAGGTAAAAAAAAATAACAAAAACAAAAAACAAGACTCACTGGTATCATTCAATACGAAGTGTGGTAATCCGTTCCAGTTCAAAGATTAGTCGTCTACCGCGTGTTTTGTGAATATGTGTGTATGTGTATGTGTGTGTGTGTGGGTGGGGGCAGGTGAGGAGCATATAACAGACAAGACACCATAGTTGAAAACTCAGATTTTTATATATATTTATATTTATTATTATTATCATCATCATTGCTTGTTTGTTTTGTTGTTTTTGTTACATATACTTATTTATTTATTAATTAATTAATGGTATTGTATTTATTCGTGTACTTCGTGTATTATTACATACAAATTGTGCTTGAAATTGACTCTTCTTCAAATTATTATTATTATTATTGTCATTATGTTTATTTATTTAGTGTTTGTTTTGTTCCGGGATGATTGAGCCATTCTCTTTTTTGCATTATATCAACACACTGTGATGTACAATATTTGGTGTACAATAATACATTTAATAGGCGTTATTTTGTGTAAAATAGGCAATTAACTAATTAATTAATTAAATGTATCTGATTATTATTATTATTATTAATGCGTTGAGTTGATGGTAAAATAGGCTTTTGTGCCTTTATGTGTTTGTGTTTGTGTGTGAGGTAGGTATGTGTCTTGGTGCAACCGATTGCACAAACATAGATATTTATGTGTATTCTACATAGAGGTCTTCATAGGTCTGTAATTGGTGTATACCAAAATAAAACAATCACAGTTTCATCTCTATCTCTCTCTCTCTGTTCTTCTTTCGTTACATATGTGATGTGTTGGTGGTGGGATGATGAATTTTTATAGGGAAGGGTATTTTACTGGTAATTTTATGTGTGGGTATAAATATATATACTATGAAGAGATACGACTGACTATCAGGAAAACTTCTTTTGTTTTCTGATTAATTCGTAGCCTGGGGTTTTTAATAATTCAACGCGCATAACAAGGCTACCCCACGTTGAATCCAGTGTTTTTGCTGTTGATCAGTTGGAACTTCAATGGAGAATACAAAGTTAGTTGAATGACCAGTAGTAGAAAGAGTACCTTTGGTGGAAGAAAAAGAGATATTCACACACACACAATAGGTAACCAATTAACACAAAGTTAACAGACAGAACAATTTCATCTGTCTATTGCATCTAATTTGGTGCGTTACACCAACCTACCTACCTACCTAAGTAAGTTTATAAATAGTTCATAATTCCATGATGGAAACACGCTATCATCCGATTAGTTTCATAAAAAAACATATGAAAAGGTCGCAGAGAAAACGTGGTGACTGTGATTATGACTGCAGGCGAAAAACCTCTCTGTATTTATTAAGTTACAATTTAATGTTGACGTGTATCTGTCAACTGAGAGTTTATTCCAGAGACTTTCCAAGAGTATGTATGAAGCAACAAACCTAAGTTTGTCATTCTCTAGCCGACGAAAGATTGACAATCACAAAGCATGGAATAGTGCCACATCTGTGTGAATTTATTGTCTCAGCTGCACCCAGCCTATGGTGACAGTTATGTTGAGCGTACTACCAGACGGCTTAGTGTGCTACTACTGAACATCTTTCATCGTGGTCTGGCAAAGAACAGACGAAAGCAATCAGAAGCTCCATTGTATCACATTTAGTTGATACTGGTTATGTAGTGGAGAAAACGAGAGCTTTCAAGATAATTCGTCGTATCCCACTGAATCATCTTTCCGACAGACTCTGGGTTCGTCTATTGCACACAGCTGAGGCAGGCGATAGGCATTCGAACTGTTAGGTCTCTAAACTAAACTCATCATTCAAAAGAAGTTCATACAACGATTATCCTTCCCTTGTTGGCCTGTTAAGACCTAACCAACAGACGACGTCTCCAGATATAGCCTCACTTTCTCATCCTTGTTATTGATAGAGTCATTATTATTATTGTTGTTATTATTAAATGCACAATCTTACGCACAATGCGTCGGTGGCACAGTGGTTAGGACTCTCGACGACCATGCACATGTCCGGGGTTCGAGCCCACACCGGTGCACACCAGATATCTATGGTCGGCCTGCGAAATTTGGGCTACCGATATCCACGCTGAAAATTCCATACTTGTACCAAAAATACAGTGTGGAATCAAGCTGTTACCAAAAATAAAAAATGAAAAAATAAAATTATCCAATTGACAAAACACCGTGATCGGTTTATATTTGATTATTTCTTTGTAAAGTTAGGCATGTATATTAGAGTTAAGCCTGATGAGATGTAATTGAAAACAATATTGTTCACTTGGAATGTGTTTCGCTAAATAGTGTACATTGCGATATTCTCTCGGGAAGGAGTCATCATATGAAAGGATTAGTTGATTACGCTTAATACTAACAAAGTACTCGTTTTCTTCTTCTACTTCCACTTTATTCGACTTCTCTTTCTTCTTCCTCTTTATTTTATTGCTTTCCACTTTCATGACTGAAGTTCTCTATTTCTCGTCTCTGAACTATCACCACTTGCTCGTCTCTTCATGCAACTCGTGTTGAAAACATTGCACTGCTGTATACCGCTTAGAAATAAATTCTTATCAGTAGTGTAGTGTATCCTACCAGCTACCAGTGTGCCGCATTTTCTCTACAAACATCTCTGAATTTATTTTTCAATAGATAGACCGGGTGAGAAACACAACGGTGTTATTGACGTTCAACTGGTTGTCAGTGGAATATTATACTTTTCGAGCAGAAGGCAAGACACAGAAACCAGGGTATATTTTTTTCACTAATCAAACCACTGTTTATATATCTATCTACAGTTTATATTCGTTAACCAATCACTGAGCCAGCATGTGATTTTGGTTTACATTAAGCAACATGTAATCGAATTTTCAAATAGACAGAGTATTCTGTTGCTAACGCCATATTGAACTGTGGGAATATTTAGTTTTTTTTCCGTTTTTCATTACTGCTTGATTCCACCCTGTATTCTTGGTACAAGTATAGAATTTTCAGCATGTGAGAGTCCTGACCACTGTGCCACCGACGACGCATCATATTCCGTTAGAACACATATTGTTGTCTGTATCGCACTACCACAAGGTTACCAGAAATAGACAAAAGTAAACTGCGTTGAAGATGTCGTCCGGAAAGACGACGAAAGCTCCGCAACTAAACCAACCAGGTCAGAGAACACTATTAATTGCAAAAGTAAACTGCATCAAGTAATGTGACAAGTGCTTTGTGTCGGTGGTTTGTCCATACTATAATATCATCTTTCTTTACATCACTAACTAACAACTACACACACTTTACTAATCTGATGATGCAGTGATATTATTAAAAGACCTTCCAATAATGATAAAAGAAGTTTTTTAGGTTTCTTGCTACCCTTCTTGTGATGTTACTCCAGAATGGAATTTTACACATTCCGACAGTAATGTTTGCTTAAATTCTTATTCTTTGTGACTTGATCTCTTACACTGATCTGATGTTGTAATTCAGCTGATTTGTAAATGCCATTAATTTGTATTAAAAACAAAGTAATCGGTTAAAAATAAGACACCATGATTACCAGCACGAGTAAGCGTTTTGTACACTGGACAATCGTAGACACCATGAGTTGGTGGTTTACGATTAGCTGTTGGTATAAGCCAAACAACTGGCATGTTGACAAATAATTCTTTCGGTCTAGATTCACACAGCATATTACGTGTAGAGTCCCAGCCAGCTCCTTCTAAGAATAAACCACGAATATAACTCCCGTCGACCGGTGATTCAGTTAATTCTTGATAGCCTTCTCTCATGACCTAGAGAAGAGAGTGTTTTAGAAAGAAGTGTAGGTTTTGAAGAATGAATATTTTCTGAAAACAAAAACGAAAAAAACATAGAACCTTAAAACTGTGATAGTCTGAAGTCGAAGTTGCTTGATTATTGAACAAAACTACCTCTGGAATTCGTCACTTGAGAATTCAATGCAGTTTGAGGTGAGAAACCAGCATATATTTTTTGGAGGGGGTGGGGAATCAAGGGAGGAAGTGGAACAGGGGGATGGTATAGACTTGCCGCTCTCTGGTGTTTAGATCGCTTCAGTCTATTTACCAATACATTATTGTGTTTGATATGAGTGATTTCTGACTGCTCAGTTTATGTAACAAATAACCTTCCTTAAACTACTCTTGAACTATAAGCTGAGATACTCTTTAATAATCATTAGCATTCTTGAGCCATTGGTTATTGGAGGCTGACTATATCGAGGAAAGCCCACCTGGATGTGGCGCGACATTCACAAGATATACTTTGGACAAGTGAATCCGTACAATGCCATTTAAACAACGCCACTGATAAGCTTGTAACGACAGATGACAAGAGGCAGGGAACAGATCGTTTATTGAGAAAATCAACAGGTATTTATAGATTTTTATGTACATTATTATTAGCGTTATTGTTAGCAGACAGGCGACGTCTTCTTATTGGTTGTCTGCTAATCGTATCCACCCAGGCTAAGTCTGCTGTGATTGATTGGTTGTTGTGTTGAGTTAGCCTTTGTTCTCATGATCAAGATATGGGAGGTAAACATTGACGTAAATTGTTGTCTAGCAATTTCGGCTAGCAAACAGCTCTCACTAAAATATTACTTTATAATGAAATGATATGCTGTGAAGCACATTAACAAATATATCAGTGGTAAGTAAGTTCACCTTTTCGTATCACGTACACTAGAAGAAACAGTTATGTGATTTTGGTCATTCGGAATCGAAATATATTTTGGCAAATGTGCTCAAAAGAAGAATGATAAGAGTATAAACGAGATAATCTGTCTGATATGCATATTCACGAATTAATGACTTCAACACCTCAACCTAACGAGGTTGAGTTTTTTATTCTGTTTTTGGTAAACGAATAATCTCAAACCAAGCAAAGCGTTAAATGAAAAGCCGAAACAAGTTCAGTACAGTAAAGAAACACCTTTTCTATGACTGTCTCCTTTAACTTTTAAAAGAAAGACGAAGGATTCTGATGAACAAGCAATCTTCAACCCTCAAATGTGTACTTTTTCTGTGCAACCAGGGAACGTTCGAAAGTCCAAAAGGAATATATTTTTGGATCAGAAAATTTTGTCCGGTTGGTGTGATGTCTGCTTAACTGACTGCTGGAGCGCTTGTGAATAATGAATGATGCAAAGTAATGCGATAGCCTCTAGAAATGGTGTGGATGTTCAACCGCATAATACCTTCAGCTTAATCATCAGTTGACTTAAACAATGAGTTTCAGCCCAAATGTTGTTGAATAATGAAAGTTGTAGGCTGATAACACTTGCAAACGAACTTTTCCATTTTTTATATGCACATCCTGAATACAACTCATTCGAATTTGAATTATTTATCTGATTAAACAACTCTCCATATCATCCTTATTTTACTTCTCTCCCTCTCTCTCTCTCTCTCTTATGTATTGATTAATAATATTAGCAAGTATGCTTATGACAGTTCATCTCTTTCGTTGCTTCCGTCTTTTGTGAAAAAAGTAGTAGTTGTAAGCATATACCAGCTATATGTACGTGCAGGTAACGAGGAGAATTCGAGATCGGTGAAAATGCCTCTTCACTGAACTCTACTCGCGGTGTGTTTCTTATCTCTCTCTCTTTCTCATAGTTTTATTATTTTTTTCTTTTAAAGTGAAAAAGATTAACACAGACAAACACAATTGTGACTTACTTTAAAATCGAATGAAATAGTATCAACAGAGATGATCTTTTTTCTTGCATAATTTTGTAATGTACCAGTTAGAAAAGCTTGTGGAAAGAAGAAACCACTTATCCAAAATACACTTGGCACACCATGATCAATCCACTCTTGGATAAATCTGACACGCATCACTAAATCTTCAGTCCAACTGGCTAATGGCTTTAGGCTTGGATAGGCTTTATTCGCCCAGGCAACGGGTACACGATTATCGAATAATGATCTAGCCATATCTTCTAAATTAGCTGACATTACTACAAAACCTTTGAGTGCTTTCAGTAGGTCATTCAATGTTCTCTGTATAGTTACTAGTAGATTATTATATCTGATTGGCGGTTAAGGTAGGGATGGGGGTGGAAAAAGTAGGGAGACGAAAGAAAAGAGGATAAGTCGTTGATTTAAAAAAAAAAACTTTTAGTATTACACTTCACAGCAATCTAAGCTGATTGGTTGCGCGATTCTCCTTCTCTCTCTCTCTCTTTCTCCATCTCCTTCTGTGACTAAGTTTTAGAGATAATTGATTTCGACTCTCCACTATTTAAATGACAGTTTAACATCCAAAAGCTGACTTCAAGTTGTTGAAGGTAAGACTGGAAATGCCCTCCAGTAGGACAATGAATGCTACTTCCCAGTTAAACCATCCAGTTGAGAGAACGCACAACCCTAAAATGCAACATTCAAATTATAAATTTTCGATTGTCCATCATTTCAAACCGCCAGCCTGCCACCCAGAAAGCGAGGAAATTGATGAATGAATTGATCATATAACGGATAAATATCAGTGTAAGAGGAAAGACAATAACTAAAAGAAGAGACATTATTTCAGTGATAAGGAGTAAATACTCCCCTGTGTTCCTGTGATTGATTTCACCTTTAGGCTACAGAAAAAAAGATGCATATAAATCGTAGTGACTGAAAATATTTCCACTGAGAGTCACACCTATAAACTGAAATACCAAATACTGGAATACCATTTACTACAGGTAAAAATGATTCTCTTTTTTTCACATCAAGAATCATTACAGGTGTAATAGGAGGTCATAAAATTAGTGTTTAGTCTGACTGAACTTTTCATAAACATACTGCGTGAATAACTAACTGGCCTGTGTGATGTTGACATTGTCAACTAGAAATGTGTTATCACAGTAGGGAAAAAGAAGATTGATTAATTGTTCGAAGTACTCTCTGAGAGTGTCTAGGCCTAACTAACTTCATCATTTAATTGAATTTCGATTTTTTCCGTCGATTGATTGAACTGAAGAGGTCGGTCTCAAGTTGACACTTCGGCTCCTTGTGCAGATGCTTCGACGATGTCTGGTCATGTAACTTGAAGTCAATTGGTTGATGGTGTGACTGGCGGTGGAATCCAGGGTAACTCGCATTTTTTCCTATTTAGGGCTTGTCATTTTGGTGTGCCTTCACTCCCCAGTGAGTGATGGCGTTCCCCCTGAGGCTGAAACCCAATGGCCATAGTTTCAAACGCCAAACGTTATCCACTAGACCACTTGGGCCATGACAGCCAGCCACCTCTTGTGCAACAGGTCTTATTAATTATATAATTCAATTCCAGATTTTCCCGTCGATTGATTGAACAGAGATACTCGGTCATCATTCAGTCTCTCATAAACTGTTTCTTATAGGATGAAAAATATGAGTCTGTTGTTTATACTTTTTCCTGCGCTTTCAAGTTCCTATTACGATTGGATTGATTTCCTGAAGTAGTTGGTTGCTAGCCTTACATCCAAATTTCCCTTTTTCTCCTCGCTTATCAACAACCAATAAGCTAGTCAATCAACTAGGTGAGGGAATTCTAGTAACGAGAAGAAAAGAAGGAAAACGAAGACCTCCATTATGGGTAAAATTTCTTTTGATAAAGTCTCGCAGTGATTATGAGGAATAAAATGTGGCTCGAAACGTCATCAGTAAACATTACTGTATAACACTGTGAGACTTTATCAAAACAAAATTTACCCATAATGGAATTACACTCTACCACGAGAGTGCACAAGTTTTATTCTTATATCAATGAAAACGAAGACCTATTGTCCAACAAGTATGCAGAAGCCCATGGATTGGACATACACAGGGTAGACAGAACGTTGACCGACATCATCCGCTAGACTATCATTGAGTGAAAATTGACTGAGGAACAATGAGGGTAACATGGATGAGATTGTCTGAAGAAGTGGAGGACTGGTGAGCTAGCTAAAACAGACTACAGAGAATCGAGTGAAATGTCGTTGAAGCCCTCCCTTTGTTCCACCTGAAATAATATAATGTAATATATACACATATATTTATGTTGTGTTATTCACCTAGTATAACATTAATAATTGATTTACTGATAAATACTCAGAATAATAATAATAATATGTCACTACTGACAAAAGTGTCTTGTGTAGCCTTGGTTTACCAGCCTTGTCTAAATATAACGAATTTCTTCAAAGTTATAATGTAGAAAAAAACCCTCCACATATACAAATGTGTTACATTTGCATAATAGGGTCTTGTTTTTGTTCTTGTTGTTGATGACGATGATGCTGTCATGTCAAAATCTTATCCATTTAGTTAGTGTATTACAGTGTCATGTGTATTGGAATTGTCAGTCTAGAAGTGTTTGAATGCTGCTATATGTGATAGGATATATTACTAACTCTATAGACTAGACTAACTAGAGTATGTGCTCACACACTGATTTGTAGTAAGTAAGTGTGCTCTTCAGTTTGATTGATAGAATGATCAAGATCTAAACAAGATTGATTATCTTCTTATTTTCTTGTTTGTTTGTTTGTTTGTTTTTCAATCACTTGATACCAAAAAAGTGACGAAAGGTATTTAACCACATACCTGATAACCTCTTGAGTTAACACTGTATTCATGGACTGTTCATACATCACTGGATACTTAGTGATTACAGCCGGCAGATCAAATGATTGTGGACATTGTTTTTGAAGAGAATGACACAACTCTTCAACAATCTCTTCACGTTGTTTTCCACTGCCAGTTGTAGCTGAAGTTTTTGGTTGCAATAATAATAAATATCCTAAAAGTGCAAATGTTTCATTTTGAGCAAATGTGATGTTAGCATTCTCGTGTAATCCAAATATCTCGGGTGGATCATTGATGGGTAGTCCACGAATATAGTCCAAGTACATCTGGTATTCATTTTTTGTTTGTTTGTTTGTTTTTAATTGAAAGAAAAATTATCATAATTAAATAATTAGACATTAAATTGAAAAGAAGCAAATCAGTAGGCATAGTTAATGCATAGTTAAAAACATTCTTTCTAATTTTAACGTGCAAAGTAATAACATAGTAGGGAAACGAAAACACGCACTGATTACTCTGTGATATACCCAGTAGTAGAGAGATCTGTAAGAGTTCTACTACGGCTTAGAGTGGACCTATACTCTAAACACCCTTACAAACTTCTTCACCGTTTTGGCGACCTACTAAGCTTAGCAGTACACTACTGGACGCGCAAATACTGACGAACTGTATCGTTGTAAAAAGACTTGATGTGACAAGAGTACCTGGGAGAATTATATTTTATTCAACGAAATATAAAATTCAATAAATAAAGAAGTCGTACAACTTATCTGCAGACGTTGCTGGAGGTAGGCTCGGAGAGTGTGCAAAAAGAGAGCACAACAAGAGAGCGAACCTATGAACGTCAGGAAGACTCACAAGTCAAAAAGTAAAACGTGGATCACCGTGGGTGAGTCAGTTTAAACAAAAGTTCAAAGGTACAATGTGCACTACAGGTTATCCCCCCCTAGAAGGTTGGTGGGAAACCAGCAAGCTTCGATATACAACAGTAGGATGGCTTGGCACAATAGCAATGAGTGAATGAGAAGGTTTGAAAATAGCAATAGTAGAAAAAAGAAATTTTACCGAAAGGAAATAAAGCAAAAGAAAAGAAAAAAAAATTAAGGTAAGTTGGAAGTGGTATGTACATGATTAGTGAAGTAAGACGGAATATGATAAGAAATGACGCTGGTGCCTTGTGTGGTTGTAAGCTTCTGCGGTCTGATGTTGTTTTTTTTTGTCTTTCATATTTTTATTAATCTTTTTTTTTTTATTTTTTTTATTGTATCGATTCATTCTTTTTTTTTTATTCCGCACTATTACAAGCTTACTTATGTGGAGGTTTGATGGTAAACCTCTGGCGCCGAGGCTGTCGTAGCAAGAAGGTGACTCATTATGTCTAACTTTCATATTAGACCAATGCTCCCTTCCTCCGCTTCAACAGAGCCTAGCAGTCATGTTAAAGGCAATCATTATACCAGCGTATGATAAGGAGCAGGGTAAAAAAAAAACAACAGAAGAAAATGGGAAAGAAGGTTAAGATTTCAAAATCGGTGCAAAGGTACTACAAAAGCTTGTTCGAAATCAATGCGAGGAAAAGTGGTGCAACTTGGAAGTAGTACGTTAGAATGAGATAAAACAAAGGATGTTTCTACCCTGTGAGAACTTATAAAATTACAAAGAAGTTAGTACATAACCAATAGCTATGAGTAGTTATCATTACCAAAATTACTTTGTTCATATTGCTAAGTGCATAACTAAGATGATGCGTAATGTTTATAAGTACGGTTCACAAAATAAATGAATTGCAGGAGGGCATAAACCCGAAGGAATATAGTACAGGCTGTGAAAATAAATTGAGCGGATTACTATGTACAGCATAGAAGTGAAGCATTTATGCGCAAAAAAAATATGTATATCTGTACATTTAACTATACAGTGGAAGTTGTTTTTTTTGTTTATTTATTATTATTTTACATTTTTTTTTACTTTTTTTTATAAATTTTTTTTTACATAATAATTAAATTTTTTTTGGAAAGGTAATATACTATTCATAATTCCTCTTTTGGTGTGGGTTACAAGATGACATGAGACGCCAACTGATCTAGCGAGTAGATTGAGATGAAAAATTAGGGGTAAAAACAAACTGATGCTGGTCCTCTGTAACGAGAGATAAAGATTAAAAGGATTAGTGAGGGTTAAAACGACTACTCCCAGAAGCGGGACCAAATAGATTAAATATAGCAGAATTGAATAAGAAATTGTGACTAGGAATAAAAAATCACTAGTAGCCTTACCTATGGATTAGTTCAGTGAAAGAATTCTACGAACCTCTTGGGCCAGTGAACACGTCGACCAGCACGTGTGACCGGGGTCTTACTGGTGACGGTAGGAGAATCATCATTCACCACCGGAGGTGAGGTAGTTGAGTCTGGACAAGGACTAGGTTCAGTGGGGCTATTTGATTGAGCCGATGGGGAGGGTGAAGGTTCTTCAGTGTATGCCGCTTTAAGTCTGTCTATGCTAACAGTGTCTGGGCGGCCGCATCGGTCAATAACGAAAAATTTATCTTTACGACTAAGGACCTTAAAAGGCCCGTCATACGGTGGTTGTAATGGCTTTCGTATGGCGTCATGACGCACGAAAACGTGTGTACAGTCATCAAGTCGCCGATCAACCTGAACCTTTCGGTTCTGAGTGCGTGTGGAAACTGGTCGGAGTCGCTGCATAAAACTTTTAAGTTGCTGAGCGTAACGGGTGGTATCCGGGAAATTTGGCTCGAAAGTTTCGGGAGCGACTAGCTCGCCTGGTAAACGCATGGTGGTACCGTACACCAATTCAGCTGGCGAGCACTGCAGATCCCCCTTAAGCGTAGCCCGGATGCTAAGCAGGACCAGTGATAGCGAATCTGTCCACTTACTGTTGTCCACTGCCATCAACGCAGCTTTGAGTTGACGGTGGAAACGTTCTACTAGGCCATTTGCCGCGGGATGGTACGCGGTTGTGCGAATGCGTTTGCATCCCAGCATCTCTAACAATTCTTTGAAGCTTGTGGATTCGAATTGTTGTCCGCGGTCGGTAGTGACAGTTGCGGGACATCCAAAATGGGCAACCCAGCCTTCCATGAAGGCACGACAGACGGTTTGAGCCGTTACATCTGGTATCGGAATGGCTTCCGGCCAACGTGTGAAACGATCCACACATGTGAGTAAATACGAGCAGCCTTTAGACGGGGGCAGAGGCCCTACTATATCCAGGTGGATATGATGGAACCGAGCGTCTGGGGTCGCAAACGTCCCCAACGGCGTGATGTTATGCTTGGTGACTTTAGCACGTTGGCATTGCACACAAGCACGTATCCATTGACGCACATCACGGTTCATACCGGGCCACGCAAATCTCGCAGAAATCAACTTGTCCGTTGCTCGTATGCCAGGATGGGAGAGGTTGTGGAGTGACTCAAACACAGTTCGGCGTAAAGACGTGGGAACAATCGGTCGAGGAGTACCAGTTGACATATCGCAAAGTATAGTTGCCTCACTGTTTAGCAAGGGGACGCGTTCTATTTTCAGTGAGGTTTTATTTGACAGGTGTTCTAAGTTCAAATCGTTCAGTTGGAGTTCGGCCATTTTATGAAGATCGATGGTTGGTGGTACGGACGTAGCACATACGCGAGACAAAGCGTCTGCTACCGCGTTATCCGATCCAGAAACGTGCTGGATATCAGAAGTGAACTGGGAAATATAGTCTAAATGGCGTGATTCTCGCGGTGAATACCGGTCTGAAGTAGTGTGGAGGGCGTACGTCAATGGCTTATGGTCGGTAAATACCGTAAATTGCCGGCCTTCCACGAAGTGACGAAAATGCTTGACAGCAGCGTAGACAGCGAGAAGTTCCCTACCGAATGTGCTGTATCGAGATTCGCATGCGGTAAGTTTACGTGAAAAGAAAGCAATCGGTAGCCATACATTAGCCATACGCTGTTGAAGGACGGCTCCGATCGCAGTATTAGAGGCATCTACGGAGATGCTGATTGGAAGTTGAACATCTAGATGGACCAACATTGTGGCGTCAGCAATAGCTTTCTTGATAGCTGCAAAAGCTGTCGAGGCTTCCTTAGTGAACACCAAAGACTTGCATTTCCCCTTAAGCATGTCAGTCAAGGGGGTCACGATATGAGCACACTGTGGGATAAAACGACGGTAGTAACTAACCATCCCGAGAAAAGTGCGTAGTGCCTTGGGAGAAGTGGGTAGAGGGAAGTTTTGAATAGCTTCTACCCGGTCAGGTAACGGATAAATTCCATCTTTGTCTATCCTATGTCCCAAAAATTTCAGGGAAGTGACTCCAATCTGACACTTCGGCAAGTTGAGTGTGAGGGAGTGTGTCACAAGTCTTTGGAAAACTGTCTGCAAATGAAGTTGATGAGTGGCTTCATCTGGACTAGCTACCAAGATATCGTCCAGATAGGCGAAGGCGAAATCAAGCCCGCGCAAAACGTCATGTATAAAACGCTGGAAGGTTTGTGCAGCGTTCCGTAAGCCAAAAGGCATTCGAAGAAACTCGAACAGGCCAAACGGTGTAATCACAGCAGTCTTAGGTATATCTTCGGGGTCGACGGGAATCTGGTAGTAAGCCCGTGTAAGGTCCAGTTTGCTGAATACTCGAGCTCCCTTGAGTGAGGCGGTTAAATCGTGTATGTGCGGGACAGGGTAGCGATCGGGAACAGTTTGTGCGTTTAGTCTGCGGTAGTCGCCACAAGGACGCCAATCTAAACCGTTATTCTTAGGTACCAGGTGCAACGGTGAGGACCACGGGCTGCTGGATGGCCTAATAATCCCCATTTCCAGCATATGCTCAAACTCCGCTTTGACAACCTTTAGTTTTTCTGGGGATAGTCGCCTCGGCTTTGCGAAAACTGGCGGGCCAGTAGTGACAATATGGTGTTTGACGTTGGAAGTCGCACATGGCAGGCCGCTGCTAGGTTTGAACAAATCTGAAAAAGACTGCAGTATATGCGAATAAGGACCAGTGCTAGTGGGTGTGGCATATACCGGGCTGAGGGCTGGGCCTTGTGTGACGATACCGCTGACGGAGAGGTTTGTGACAGGATCTTTTAACTTATGATTACCTGTATCTACCAGTAATTGGTAGTGCTGCAATAGGTCCATGCCAATTATACCTGTGGTAACGTCTGCCACCAGGAAGACCCAACGAAGTGAACGACGCAAACCAATGTTAAGATCTATAAAGCGCCTGCCGAACGTAGCAATTGGCGAACCGTTTGCGGCTCGTAGTTGAAGAGACATTGGCCGCCTGCGCTCCTCTACTGTGGGTGGGATTACACTGACCTCTGCTCCGGTATCAATTAGGAAGCGTATCCCAGTGTTACGGTCGGTAACATAGAAGAGGCGACATGAGAGTGGTTCGCCAGCGACGTTAGTCGCCAGTACGTGCTGGCTTGCTAGTTTCCCGACTGTTGAACATCGAAGGTGCACGGGCGAGTGCACTTTTGGGCTTTTGCTCCGTAACGTCGATGATACCAGCACACTCCAGGCTGGTTACTTCGGGACTGTCGGCGCTTGCTGCTAGCACGTGGCAAGGGTCTACTACTACGCGAACTCGAGGGACTGCGTCCACGACTCCTGGAGTTCATCTCCTGTCGTATACTACAGATCTCCTCGTATAGCTTGGCTATATGGGCCACCGCGTCAAAGCTTGATGACCCCCCATCAGACGAATCTTTAGTCTGAGCGGGAGCAGCAGTTATTGTTGCGGAAATGCCAATTTTGGGATTGATGGCCTCTACGGCTCTATCAGCTGCCTCGGCTATCTCCTGTAAGGGGTACTTGTAGATCGGTGCTAAGATACCCTGGACTGCCTGAGGTAATCTTTGAAGCCAAAGTTGTTTGAGGAAAACCTCGTCAATTTTAAAGTCCGCCACTAGCTGCTTCATCTGCCTCAACATTTGTGAGGGCTTGCGGTCACCTAACTGAACATCGCGGAAAAGTTCCTGCACTTTCTGTTGGTCAGTAAGTGCGACTCGTTGAATTAACGCCTGTTTGAGCCGCTCGTACCGATCCGGAGACGGATCTGCGAGAACGTCAGCCACCTCGTCTATGACACTTTCGGGTAGGCTCACAATCACGTGGTTTACTTTGGTCTCTTGTGAGTGTATGTGTCTAATGGCAAACTGAGCCTCTATATGATTAAACCATGCAGCTGGACGATGTGTCCAGAAGGCGGGGAGTTGCAGCGTTATAGCCATCTCTGCCGAAGAACTGTTGTCAGCCATCTTGCACACAGGGCACAATATTAACAAGGTGATAAAAAAACCAATATAAGTACAAAGAAAACAAATCGAATCTTTATAACCGTGCGTGAAAGAAAAAAAAATAACAAAATAAACGGTACGAAAAAAGAATCGTTAACACGTTAAGCTACTATAGCGGAAAACGGTGAAAACGGGCTCACCACTTGTAAGAGTTCTACTACGGCTTAGAGTGGACCTATACTCTAAACACCCTTACAAACTTCTTCACCGTTTTGCGACCTACTAAGCTTAGCAGTACACTACTGGACGCGCAAATACTGACGAACTGTATCGTTGTAAAAAGACTTGATGTGACAAGAGTACCTGGGAGAATTATATTTTATTCAACGAAATATAAAATTCAATAAATAAAGAAGTCGTACAACTTATCTGCAGACGTTGCTGGAGGTAGGCTCGGAGAGTGTGCAAAAAGAGAGCACAACAAGAGAGCGAACCTATGAACGTCAGGAAGACTCACAAGTCAAAAAGTAAAACGTGGATCACCGTGGGTGAGTCAGTTTAAACAAAAGTTCAAAGGTACAATGTGCACTACAGATCTACTACACCCGCCAGAGGGAACATGAACCGAATTTTCAACATAAATATCAGGTTGGTTGGTTGCTTCTATATGGTTAATAGAATTGGTGTAGACGTCGTCGAAAGCATCCACAACACACTGCAGAACTTCATCAATAGCCTTCGTTCGATAGTGAAGGTGGTCAGATGGCCGGCCAGGCAGCATTATCAACAGGAAACTCTGGTGACAAACCAACCGAGAAGATATTGCCGAACTAATATGTTTAAGGAAATAGAGATGGATTAGATGTACGCTGAGGAGACGATTGAGTGAAATCATATGCCATGACTTCAAGTGGAACGTAAACGGGAAATAACGACTTGGGAATGAGTCCGAAGGTGAGATGGCAGCGATGCGAGGACGGAATGAAAGCGTATTGGCAATTGGGCACCTGGTTAATAAAAAGGACTGAAATTCTCTTCAGAGTGAAGTGGCAATGAAGTTCCAGCTTTCTAGTATGATTATCTGTGCAAGACATATCGTCGAACTTATTTGAAACTAGTTTACACTTGAAGGACGGTGTCAAACTATGATTTCATCATCTTCAGTCGTTTATAGGACTGGATGAACCTAAATGCTTCTACTTAGTAAACTATGCATTTCAAGTTTGAGTTGAAAAAAGCTGCTAGAATTCTCTTCTCCACCAACTAACTACCTTTCTGTAGAGATTGTTAGTGCAGAACATAAAAGCTGTCGAAGATGAAATGACAAGTAAAGTTGGATACACTGGTCTGTAAGTCATCAGCAATGCTAAGACCATCCTAATCAACTAAATTACTGAGCTGGAACACTTTCATTAAGAAGGCTATTCGCTTTATTATCAGTTTAGAAATAGCCAGAATTCGACGAACTTTGGACAAACAAAATAAGCGTAAAACTGAATCAGGTCCAATTATATCTATTATATATATATATATATATATATATATATATAATATTTTATATTAATTAGAAACTACCCATATGTTATGATTATGTAATGATTAATTTTCCTAGAACAGTGTTAAAAATCCCAACCACTTATCACTCAACTAACTGTCTGTACAACTTTTCATGTAACTAGTTAATGACTTCTTATGGTATGCGAATTTGTCCCACACCTCGAAAAACATTTAGTCTTCCTTGTATTGACGAGAATCTGCATCGTCTATTCTGTTTGGAGGACACACACATCCAGAGTATCACAGAATGTCCTTCGTCATGCTCACATCTATGCCTTAATGACTGAATTGTTTCAGTTGTATAGGGTTCACAACACCTCAGTGAAGTAATAATAATTCTTGTTAATCCCCCTTGAGTTTCGAGTGGAACATATAGCTTCAAAGCTTTTCTTTTTTTCTTGAAGTTTCATTATCGATGAGGTTGTTTTATTTTATTTACGTTGTGGGTTTGTTGGCCTCACGCCTGACCCTTCCTGTTTTACCTATTTGCTACCAGCTAGTAAAACTAAACGAGATTAAGGAGTAAGTAAGTAAGTCGGCCGTGAAATGAAGCTGCCTGCACCTTCCGCATAGTTGGCGAGCATTTTACTACTGAACCTTTCAGTGATGCACCCACCATAACTCCTCCAGGGATCGAACCCAGGTTGTCAGGCGAGCCTGTTGACTATTCAACCAATGGGATAAAGCTACAATGTTGTTCTTATTGCAGTGTTTCAATTCAAGTGCTGCTATGAAGTAAGTTTTTTAAGCGAACGGGGAAACTTACAGCATGATCTGTATTTCCGGGTAGCTGGTGGTATATACCAGATGGTGAATAACTATAATCGTCTTCTAAAACACGCGGAAAGTAATATTCATCTAATATACTCATCGCACATCGCCTGTCCCAATCATCCGTTATACGTCCACCGTAGTTAATATGTCCAGCTGTATAACAAAGAACCTACAAATGAAATGTGACACTGTATAAATTTTGTATTTATTCTACAAAATGTAGTAAACACTCATATTCTGTATCGCTGTAGCATTGTCTTCATAAAAGATTTCTAACTGTGAGTACTATTAATTAAGACCTGGGAAAAATCCAACGGTCATTTACTTAAAATTCCGTTCAATGGATATATCACATAGTGTGAAACAGTGTTATTTTTACTGGAGTTTCAAACACAATCTATCAATCAAGCAATCAATATCATATCTCAGTTACAACTTTACAACTTAGAAACTTCACTTCTGTCTGTGGTTGTTTCTCTTCTTTCTTCCTTCCTTCCCAATTATCTTAGGCCCCTGAGAGAATTTTGCAAATGTCTCAAATAGGTGGTAGTAAATCATTCCTGTTGTGTGTATCCTCAGTTGATTTGACAAATTAGGCTTCAGTTATCAGTCTCGCTTTCTCTCTGTGTGAGTGTGTGTGTGTGTCTGAAGTGTTACATTAGATTTCAAGACTGACACCTCATCTCATCCCATCTCATCCTGCTGTATGATTGATTGTTTGTAAATGAATTTAGTGCTATTGTGGTGAGAGCTGGCTGCTAGCCAAAGTTGGTAGACAGTAAGTAATTTACGTCAATGTCCTTTTTATATCCCAAATATTGGTCATGAGTAAAATAAGAAGAAAGACTGATTTTGCATAGGCGGATACATTTAGCATATAAAGATGATTTGACATTCAATAAACAGTCACAAAGAGATGAAAGATTAACTTTCAGTGAAAAACAAGCAATCAGAAAACTGTGTATGTTTGCTAACAATAATTTATAATAATGTACATGAAAATATATAAAAAATATGTGTTGATTTCGTAAATAAACGATCTGTTGCCTGGCCCTTGGTTTCTGTGGTTACACTAAGCTAAGCTGAGCTTTTTTCTATATTTCTCACCCATTTAGGGTCTACTGGCCTAGATTTCACTAGGATTTTTAAGCTCCATTAATGCAATCGGATCCCACCTACTACTCTGAGCTCATAATCACTGTAGAGGATTAAATAAACTACATTATTCTGTCTAATGGGCGCCACAAGACTTTTCAATTTGTTTTGATTGGGTTTGATTGACAATCTTATTCTTTTTCAAGTCTGACCTGGGCTGACTTCAGTTAGAGAACTGTTGAAAATAGAGAGTACTCACTTGACAAGTGTTTCATCCAAGTGCTTGGGACTCATCGACAGTACGCACCCATCGGGTTTTGAACCGAGGACCTTCCGGTTATAAAGCGAACTCGTAGGCAAATTTAAACTTTAGGCACCACTAACTACCAATCAGCAGCAAATGACCTCGAACGCACCAATCACGTGAAGGAGGGAGGCATTTTTGTGCATGGAATACATAGATTTATGAAAAAATGCATAAAAGCTGTAGAAAAGTGTTACGCAGACTGCCTTCCTCTCCCATGTGATAAAAGTAGCTCTCAGTTTTAGGCTGGAATATCAACAGAGTATAATTCCGTTGTGGGTAAAATTTATTTTGATAAAGTCACACTATGGCTCTGACAATAACCCTGATCATTCCTGAACCTAACCCTAACGTGAAAATAGCCCCTAACTAAGAATGGACTCAGCATAAAACAGTATATCATCTTTTATCTTGTGATGGAGTCACTTTGTTACTGTATCATTTCTCACGTATATTGAGATTTAGTGTGCCGGAGATCAATTCATCGTCTTTTGTCTCACCTTGGTCTTTGTCGTTGGATCACCAACCAATGAGAATAGACATTTCCAGCAAATAAGATCAATCAATTCTCACGGTTGTTAGCCAACTTTATATTATGGTATAGAAAATGTATAAATATCATGTGTTGTTACTTAAACTACAAAGTATAGTAAAGTAATACAATATCTTACAGTCACAGGCCACCCAGCCAGCCTTTGTCTTTTGATATTTCCGTGACTCAGTGTCGGTGAATCGGAAGGTACAACGGACAAATAGACGTATTAGCGTGCCAGTCAAGTTGATTACCATTATAGTAATTGACAGGCGCAGACATAACAAAGTAGCGACGGATTTAGTTCAGTTCACTTCAGCTATAACCAATTGGCAACGGAGTTATAACAACTGACTGTAATCTAACTGTAACCAACCCTAATGTCGCCGTTATTAGGTTAATCTAACTAACCCTAACTTGTCCATGGTTTAACCGTCAAACGTTAACTTAATCTTTCTCAAACCTATGCTGAAACTTGCCAGATATCCCATTTAATAATAGCATAACGCTTCGATAAGCATATTTTACTGATGATGAAAGCATTATTTCCCAGGTTTCACAAACTTCTTCAGTGAGCCTTTCAAGGTGATCGGTGTGGTCTCACTCCATTGGTAGTTAGTGGTGCTTAAAGTTTAGCTTGGCCGGCCAACTCGTATACCATTCAGTCAGTGGGACACAACTCAATCAATGGCTGATGAATTATGTGTTAGGTGCCAGCGTAATGGTAGAAGAAAAATGACTTGGTGAAGGAAGGTTTATTTGGAATTCGCTACAACTATATAGCCAAATTATGTACACCTTATTTCCAAATTATTATTTGCACAGATCTTTACTGTTGTGCTACTTCTGTGTATCGTGTTCCGTTGTCTTGTTTTCGTGTCTTCTATGTTTCTCTACAATGCTGAATCATTTACTTTCTTTGACATCAGTCCATCTCTGCATTATTTGATATTTTTGTGCTGATCAAGGTCTCTGTGTACTACTGGTAAATCTTGTCAGTAGCACACGCCACACCACAGGTTCTTCTATCTTCACATATGGCAGCACTACTGACGTTTTGAACTTCCTATTAATGAAGTTGTCATCGTTTTGTATACGTTTGCCATTCATGTTGTCCTTACTTATTGCTGTCATTAATTTTATTCCAACAATTTCCTAAATACTTGGTGATTAATCTATCGGAGTAATTATTAACTGGTAAAGCTCCTCATACATACTTCCTCCATTTTTATACAACATATACTGAGATCGGCTAATCTTTTCATACTTCCTGCTTTCACTTACTATGACTGTAGCCGTAAAGATGGAGAGACTGATGTCACACCTGCAAAGATGTCGCCACCTGACGATTGGCAAACGAGCATTTTGTATCCTTGCTGAGAGAGATATCGTTAATATTCAGATCATCAAATCAATGATGTGGTTAGCACACCTAGTCATATCCTATCACTATAGGTCGGTGTAAACCAGTCCACCAGCCTTATCTTACATCTCACATAGGCGAATCATACATGCTAAACATTGTCAGAATCTTGCTTATTAGTGTGTCAGAACATCATGTATTCTTACAGCGTTTGACCACTTAATAATAAATATTCTTGTATAAGTCTTTTCACCTTGAAGTTTTTCTTTCAGTGTAAACAGATGAAAAGTATTTTACGGGATACTTATTGAGACCAGTATTTCAGTAGGATTGTTCAGCAAGATTTCAGTAATCTCTCTCTCTCTCCAGAGATCATAATCTATTACTGAAGAATGTCAGTATTCCAAAGTATTCAGCCAATTACCTACTTCTGTTTGACATTCAAAAGATTTTATTGAGCATCGATTTCAGGATTTTTAAAATCTCATTCTCTAGTGAAGAGAGAGAGAGAGAAAATTGTTTGTTTTCTTGTATGGAGGATTTAATCAAGAGCTGAAATCAGTTAGAGAACCACTGGAAAACCTGCTGGGAGTACTGGACAGCTGTTTTCCAGTGGTTCTCTAACTGATGTCAGCTCATGATTAAATCCTCCATACAATCAAACCAAATCCCTACAAAACCAATGTTTGTTTCGTGTTCTTTTTCTCAACTTACACGATAGCAATATATAATACGATAGGCTTTTGTACTCTTGCTTACCTTGTAAGGCGTAGTAGTATATTCAGTTAAAAACATAATCAACTGATCCATACATATTCTCAAATCACCAGTTGTAAATTCATAAGGTATATTGAATCCTAGTGGGCCGAATTTTTTACGTTCAATCAAAACACCATGGAAAAATGCCAGGGATAGGAACAAATGCCTGAAGACATCATTCTAAAATCAAAAAAGATAAATAATAATAATAATTACAAACCATAGGAATGATTATTTTTTGTTGTCAGTCGGCCGGCTTCTTGTTAAGCATATCATACAATAATAGTCTTATCATTTTCTGGATATAACAGGATATCTGAATAAAACCTCCTGTCTATCTATAATAGCCATCTAGATAACTAAACAAATCTCCTCATATTGCCAAGAATCATTACACCTACATTTCTACGGGTCGTTAACTGGTGGTTTCACATAAACGGGGAGCTAGTTGAATCACTCATTATTCGTGCTGTTACCACCTGCAAAGCAAGCACTCTGAGAAGTACGAAAACTTAGATGTCTCTTTTTGTAAAACGGACTATCCATCACACCATTGATTTGTGCCACATTTAAGTCTGACTTTAGGCATTCTTGTACTGTCCAGAAACACGGGAATCTGAAAATTTCCTGCTTTCTTATTAATGTGTTGATGCATTTCAAAGTGAAGCGTGACCAGAGTGTGAAACACAATATATGATATGAAAAAGCAGTTGATGTGCTTCGGTCACTACTGATGTCTTCACGAATCCATAAGTTATTAGAATGCTAATCAGTAAGTAGCTTAGTCGTGAAATTTCTGACTTCAGAATTAAGGGATTCAGCTTCGAATATCCTCAGACATGTGGTCGTCTAAAAGACTGTAGGGAAGATACAGTCAGTGGAACATCCACATGCGAATCTGTAGACCAGTGATGAAGGAAGATTAGTGAGGCTGAAGGTTACTATGATCCCTCTCTGACTAATTTTTTGTGTCCAACAGCCTCCAAGACACAAGCGCATTACTCGCCAGTCTACTCTAGCCAGTCGGTTTCAAATTTTGTTTTCATTTTCAATTACCATGCCATGCATAAATGCGTAGACATAATTATGCAAATGTAACTATGGAATTTGAGGAGAAGTGATTGTTAAAATAAAAAGAATCCCAGCTCATCGAGTAAAAGAGCTGTTTTTCTTTCATCACCTAGCAGCATAATAAGACAGTGATATCACAGTTATGTGGACGAACACTTTACGTAGTATTTTTGATAGATTAAAAACTGTATGTCACAATATATACACAACAAATACGTAACAATCAATCTATTTCCTAACATTATTATTATTATTATTAGTTTAGACAACAAACCTTAGCCGGAACATTAGCCAAGTAAGCGTCATTAATTGCCTGGTACGTTCTTAACAGATTTGCCTTCAAGCCTTTCGGAGGTTCAACTGTCATTTTAGATCCATTTTGTAAAATGTAAACTGGGAAATCTGGACTGGGCATACTTGTCAACCATAGGCGGAAATCTCGGTGTACCTAGAACAAAGCAAAAAAGGTGGACGGTGACACTATCATAACATTCAATATTGAATTCTTCGTAATGATAGCATCAGGCTGTTTGAGTGCATACGATAAAAATTCCTTAGGTAGGCAGGTATTGAGCAATAATACTGATAATGGCGAATTTCAACGACCATTGCGGTGACATTGAGCTCAGGGCTTCTACATAGATTACACTATTTTACAAGTTGAATATCTGAGTGAAATTTATGTGGTCGGTAATAGCTAGGACGCGTGTTTCGTCTCATGTCGTACTTGTCGGCTTTATGTGTCTGCATCCCAGTAAGTCATGCTTTTGCCACTAAAACGAGTCTGAAATGAGGGAAACACACTGCATAGATTTCATCACAAGGTACTACCAACATCTGGTTGGCTTTCATCAAGGCAACCATTCTAGAAGCTGACATGCAAACACTGATCAGACACTTCAATCCAGTGAAATCTACCAAAAGGAGAAATTCGAAATAATTTTAACAGAAAGTCCAAATGGCATTTCCACCCATACAACCAATGTATGATAAGGTCTGAAATAATTCAACTGGCATTCTTTGCATCATTTTTCAATTTAATCTTAACAATGAGAGGGATCTTTCGTGGATTTACGTGAACTTATGTCTTGTGAACTGTCTTGTATCATCTTAGACACGCAGGACATAATTATATTGAGACTGGTCGCAAAATTCTACTCTCAAGTTAAATTATCCCTTTATCAATGGCAGATGGCAGACACTTAAAATCAGGCGAACATTTATCTGAGGCAATAAGGATAGATATGCCATCGAAATTCCAATTACAGCTAGAAAAGGAAATCCAACTTAAAAGCAGTAACCTATCCACTGTGTATCTTACTTGTCTATTCTTTAAATACCAATTGAATACCATTTTAGGAAATTAAAATAAATTTATCCCTTCGATCAAATTAGACAGTGTCATCAGAAAGAAGTCAGTGAGTAACTGATATGTATCCACATATATATATTTATGTGTGTGTGTGCATGTTGGTCTCTCTTTCTGTTTGCTCGGTTAGTGTGTGACCACTTCACTTGTATGGACTTGTCTCCTTTAATAATGTGTATTCTCCTTATATTATATTATATATAATATGAGTGTTTGTTGACAGTCCGTTGCTTGGTGACATATATCCATATATGTTTGTTGGCATGTCTGCTATATTCGCTATGTATAATTGGATCGACACTCCATTATAATTAGCCATTCATGTTAAGACTGTCTAATGATTTTCCCCACGCTTTGTCTGAATTATTATATATATTCGCATTCACAATTTGTGTGAACTACTTTACTTTACAACTACTTTACTTACTTACCACTTTGGTGTGAGACCATTTATTTTTCGTCTCCTTGTGTTTGGACAATAGAAGTATCATCGCAAACCTAGTGGTCTTCTGATTTCCGCCTTCTATCGTCAGGACTATTAGTTTCTCGACCAGTCCATAACAATAATTTAGCAACGAGTACATAACAATTTGTCGACGGGGAAACTAGTACATAACAGTAACTTACAAGTGTAATCATCACATATAAACCACTGAGGTCATTTATTCTGAAGACTTAAGAACAAGAATTAGTGGTCATTTGAATGTTAAATAAATAATTGATTGGGGTTAAAGTAGCTTCATCACAGTGTAAGTTACTAGTTACAAGTGAGCGAGAGAGAGAGAGTCACGCTACGATGCGAATTGGTATTTGCATTGCATTGCAATCAGAGTTTATAATGTTCATTTTCATTGCTATCATTCCAGCTTTCCAAGCTCTCCTTCTTATTAGTTTTGTTTTTTACACCTCGCTTATATCATTATTATTATTATTATTATTAAATGGGATTCACTTACCTATACACATATCACGGACCAAAATTCCTTTTCATCAGACGATTAAAACAAACCACCTGGAAATTGTACATTAGGCTATAAATTGTATTTATTTCATAACAATTAGTTAGACTATCTGGCTTTCGAAACAGTGCAGTACAATATACTCCCACATACACTGATGTCAGTCACATCCTGTTAAACACTCCTTTCAGACTGTAGTTCCGTCAAAGTGAGGAAGCTATAGGAGTTGTTATCAAACAACTTGAATAATACCCACACCGTTCTCATTACATTAGCCGTCTATAACAAACAATACAGAATTATTAAGCAATATCTGTTAACATCTGTTAACAGTTCTCTATCTACATCTGGAATTTCATCGAACTTCGCCCTAGAAAACCAAACCTATAACACCCATTCCATTATGCATTCATGCAAATGTGCGAGTTTCTGCACTCATCCTTCTCCTGGACAACCTACATAGAAGAAGAAAACCTTTTCAAAAGACAAAAAGGAAAATGAATATTAATTTCGATGTTAAACGCCAACACTGTCAGTCAGTCGGTCAGTCAGAAAATCAAAAAAGCAGATAAAATGTGACACATTTAGGAAACAAAACTCACTCTATCCTTGTCTATCTGTTCAACCAATCTTTCTAAAGTAGGCATCCAAGATGGAGCTAAATGACAATTTTGGAAAAATACCCAAACTCCACGATCCATTGCTGTTCGCATAAGTTCTTCAGCTCTAGGACCTTGTCCCTGACCAAGTGAGATAGCTGACAGCTTTTTACCACCGAAATTCATTTCATCGGCAAATTTGTACAAATCTGAAGCTGGATCTGTACCCTGGAAGTTTATTTTTCAAAAGAGATGAAATTTTGCACAGAGTCATCAATTTTAAAGATGACATTACACTACTAATTAGTACTAAAAGTTTTCATACTTATTACTATTATCATTATTGTTATCACCATATTAACATCCATAAAATTATATTCTATGAAGAAGAAAGAGCCATAGGAGACAATAATGACACGCATACGCATATATATATATATATATATATATATATATAATAAGCACCGATCCATCCGGATATTGGCTAGGAATTAATTAGATAGATATATCCGTCGCACACGAACGGGCATATCTATCCGTCGGTAATGTTGCAACGAACATCTCTTCACCTATAACGTTCAGATTTATTTTCCAGCTTTGTATAAATAAAAACACATATTTTACGAGTTTCATAATATATAGAGAGATGAAAGTGTTTCGTGGTTTCGTATGCATGGAGAATAATTCATCAAAAATTGTCGGGATTTAGTTTGATTGGATGGAGGATTTTATCATGAGCTGACTTAAGTTGGAGAAACACTGAAAAACCAACTGGGAGTACTGAAGAGCAGTTTCGTTAGCCTAGTTTGGGACTCTTCGGCAGTACGCACCCACCACAGGGGTTCGAAACCAGGACCCTCTGGTTGCAAGGTTACAAAACCAATACTTGAAAATTAATCTGGTGCTCACTAGCGACTGGCCCTATTCAGGTAGGCAGTGACCTGGGGTTTCTAGTGGGAATCCGTGACCAGTAGGGTACAGCAGGTTGAAGATGAGGCAGTAACTCATCGAAGAAAACACTGAGAAGTGGTCGCGCTATGTCGTGAATTGACAGAAGTTAGAATTCAAGAACCATTGGATCGGGTCCCAGTGGCTCAATGGACTACGAGCTAGCTCGCCTTGTAATCAGAAGGTCCTGTGTTCGAACCGCTGTGGTGGGTGCGTACTGATGAAGAATCCCAAACTAGGCTAACGAAACAGCTGTCCAGTACTCCCAGCAGGTTTTCCAGTGGTTCTCTAACTGATGTCAGCTCATGATTAAATCCTCCATCCAATAATAAGTCATCAAAGCAAACATTAAACCTGTTTGACAACAGAAATCAACTTATTTATTTAGCTATTCTTGTGAAAAGATTATTGTTATTATTATTATTACTATGCAGACATTTTGTAGAATTTGTATTCACCGCACTCGTGTGTTTTGTTTTCAAAGAAATAAAGCTAAAGCTCACCTACCTGAGACAATACGAAGATTAACGGAGCTGACGGTGAACTATCCTTGAATACTTGATGCAGACTAGCAGTTTGCGGTTCAACAAATCTTTGGCCTAAATGATGACTTACAAAGTCTTGCATTGCATTGGTCACTTTATCAGCTCTAAGGCAGCGTAGAACTAAAATCCGTTGGAAGCTGTCTAAATCTGTTTGCCATGGCTCGGGGAATTCACTTCTGTGTGGTTCACAAGAATCGAAAATCTTTTTGAATCCATCACGATTCTGTGTTATACTTTTTGGTAGATTAGCGAATTTAGGCAAAGAAGAAAGATTCAGTACATCCCCCCACATACGATCTGAAATCCATTCTGGTGCTGGATTAGCAAGTTCTTTACCTTTATGCGTACCACCAGCAAGTAAAAATCGATATTCATCCTAGTATAAAAGTATTAAAAAAAATAAAAATTTACCAATAGTCATCATCACTAACTAAGTTGGATAAGTAGGATAGAAAAAAAAGTTGATATCAGATCGGCTGATAACAAGAAGTTGGTGGAAACTACAGTGCCAGATACCTAACCTATTATAAGCATTTCAGATAATGACAGTCTTCTATATTTTACATTTTCCTTTGATTATTGCAAGACCTGCATCGTTGGCACACCCGTAGAATGCTCGTCAACCATGCAGGTAGGTAGTTCAAAGTTCGATCCCCGGCCGTATTGGACGCACTCCTTTACCTCACTAAGCCAGTAGTAAGACCGGTAAAGAGAGAGAAGGTTAGACATTAGGCTAGCAACCCTATCCCTCAAAAATAATTACCGCTGCTAACAGTACTTCAAACCTCTAGTTTTGAAGCCCTATGTTCCACTGGGGACGTAAAGGAATTAAATAAATAAATAAAGCCTAAGATCTTCTGAAACTCATTTTGGACTCACACTTAACTTATACCGAGAACAATAACATTCAGGAGCATAAAAAGTATATCCCTGAAATGCTTCATTTGATGACTAGCGCTCTTACTGCCTGGCTAATAATTCTGATAGCGTAATCCATGGTGATGGTAGCAAGAGCATAGCCCGCCCTTTTGGTGTCTGATCGGTGTTAAATAAACAGTCTAAAAAAAGTGATGAGATATTCAGAGAATTCATAGTGTCACTGTTTTATTCACCTTCGAAGAACACGATAGAAGACAGACAGCATGTGAGTAAAGTGTATACTCAACTTCTGATAGGCGTATATATGTATATATATGTCTAACTAAACAGGAGAAGAAACAGATAAATAAACCAAGGTGCAATAAACAGGACTCTACTTATTTTTATCAGATAACAACATGTAATATATATGCGCGGAAACATACGCGTACACATGTGCGCATTGGCAGCCACAGCTGTGATGTACAGTTAATTTTAAAACAGCTATTAGTATATTTTGTCACTATAGTGTTCGACTAATTAATTAATATTGACTTGAAGATCACAAAGAGTTATTATATATCTGCGCTACTGGAAACAATTTTAAGCCATCTTACCAACTATTGACTGTTGTTACGGTTTCAGGGACTCCAGCCAAGAAGTAGACATACACCAAACCAACAGGTGAAGACATCACGGAGACACAGTCTTGTTGACTGAACATTTTCCTGCTCACACAATACTCCACGCACAACCTAATTATTGCTGAGATTCAGACTTCTTGCACTCAACTAGCAAATACGACTGCACATATTTAAGCAACAAACTTACCAGTTAATATTGGTTTGAATTTCACACCAATGATTAGCGTGACTCTGATTTCACTTGTTTCTCTTCTTTTACTATACTTCTGTCTTGCATCTCGTGTAGCAAAATAGGACTTCAAGCCTAAACTGTGAAGTTTCAGTAACACAGTGGTGTTTTTTACAGGGTGAGGTTGCTGACCTCACGCTCAACCACCTTCCCCTTTTATCTGACTGGAAAACGACTAGCGGGGGGGGCAAAGATGTGCACCGGCCGGGAACTGAACACCGGACTACTTGTATGGTTGGCGAGCATTCAACCGCTGAACCACAACCGCACTCCATACTATACATGTATCCCAATCCAGTTTCTGATTTAATTTTCACATGTCTTTAATGACCATTTGTATTATAATATTCATGGATTTATAACTGTAGAGCCTGAGTAAGAATTCATCGAAAATAACTGTTCGCTCATAATCATCTTGTTCTGTGATTACACTATGAGGATTTTAATTTTAATAAGTGTTAATTTAGATAGTGTTATTAGAAGACGGAGATTGTCTAAAAAGTCTGATTTATTTGCGCTATACATTTCGAACAGTCTGATCACACATTTACTTGTCAAGTCGATATATATGGAAAAGTTAAATTAAACAAAGTGACAAAAATAGAATTAAGAATAATTAACACAACGTTTGGTAATCCCATCAAATAAGGATTACCAAGGTAGGTAAAGAGTAATAACAAACTGCTTTTGAACACACAAGGGGGGCTTCAGTTTAGCCTCAGCGTATTTCAGTAAACGCCCTTGACCGTTATTGTAGATGACCTTAAAGGCTGAGTCAACATCACTCTTATGGTTCATCTCGATTAGGCGTTTAGCTTTAGACGAAGTTGGTAGTCTGACACACCTGCATCTATTGGCTTGTCACAAATCATCTGTTTTTCTAACCAATCCTCTAAAATAGATACAAGTGTCTATTCGGCGTATGTGCACGGCTGATGTTAAAGACAAAGAAAACGAAATGTTGATGGATACTCTTGTTCAAAACGGATATCCTTTAAAATCCTTAAACATCTGCAGAAATCAACTAGCCTCTAAACCTACAATCCATACTGTCTCTTAGAAAGAGGTTTTCATCAAATTACCATATAACGAGGATTTTGAGACAAAGGTTGAATTCGATCATCTGCAGAACCTACTATGCAGCCCAGCTTGTAATTATGTAATCGACGAAATCATCTTCAGAGACTGTATGGTCTTATTTATATATACCAAAAATGTATAGTGGTCTATTATTGAGTAATAGGGGGTGACATAATTGGTATAATTAATCATAAGTAGCTTTAGAAGGGAATGATTATTGAAGAGGTTAAGAGCAAGGTAGAATAAGAGACTGGACAAACTTTTTCTGTATACAGAGTTCAAGGTTATATTGATGAATCGCCAGCGCCTCCGCCATACACAAAAGCCGAAACCTGACGCCCTTTGTACCATTTGGCTTCACTTTGTAGATGATCTTGAAAGACGACTGATATGTACCCACATGATGTGTGTTTTGTTTTTGACAGTCTCTATTATATTTTGCTATGTGTATATGGATCGATATTCCATTTTAACTGACATTATGCTTTTGTCTGTCCACTAACTAAATAAACATGTATGACCTTGTTGTCATATGACATTACAACCAATCACGTTAAGACTGGATATTTATTGGTTCATGTGTATTAGCCATTTTCGTATATACTCTTGCTTTATTATTCTTGTACACACATTTACGTTCATTCGTACCATTTCACTCACACTCTTGTGTGACATTGATTTTCCTTGTCTGGAAAATACACGTATCATCGTAAACTTGGTGGTCTTCTGATTTCCCTCTTTCCGCGTCAGGACTATTAACTACTCGACGAGTACATAACAACGACTCTGGTGGAGCTACGTGGTCTGAGTTCACCAAATGTTCGATAATTGAGCTAGTAATTGTCTTGCATTATGCCTTTGCTAACCATGCCGGATAATGTTCAGAGATGCGTTTGGAAAGCGTGCGCTTTGTGCGGGTGGCCAATATAACTAGCTCCACACGAGCAGGTGAATTTATAAACACACATTGAGGTGGCCTGTCCAAAGCGGCAGTTTATCCTTCATACATCCGTTGATCATTTGTCGGCTGTAGAAATTGATACGTAGCTCAACCATAAAGAAGGCTTTCCTCAGTGATCTGCAAAGGCGATTCTTCAGAATCTCAGCTGCGTTATCACCTTTAAATTCAACACTCATAAAGAGCAGTTTCTTCGGCACCGTCTGGATTCTTTCAGGCTTTTCTCTTAACTTCATGTTTTTCTCGATAAATCTTGGAGGGTATCCATTCTCTATGACAACTTGTCTGAGTCGCTCCAGTTCCCCATTGACTGTATCACTTGAACATATCCTCCTTATTCTTGAGGATAAGGAATGGATCAGATTTCTCTTTCTTCTCAAAGGGACCCAGCCATGGAAATTGGTGTACTGACCATTCCATGTTGGTTTCCTGTAGATTGATCTTTGAATATTCTTCGTTCAAATTGACTTTTAATTAGGGTAAACTCTTATTCGTTTGTGCAGAAAACTTCTCTAACTCCAATTATTTCTGAACTTTAGCCTGACAACCATCTCGACGTGGTTAAGCCCTCTGAGTTGTCGTCTTGAAATTTTTGTGATTAGAATAACTTATAACTAGACCAAGGCTCAACTGAAAAATCGAAAGAACTATACGTGTAAAAGCGTTTTATTGTAGAAGACAACAACAATATTCATTGTTCACTCACTAGGTAATCAGAGAGGGAATGAAGAATACTGAATAGTCTACAAGTAATTACTTCTTCAAACTTAATAAAATCTTACAGTAAGAAGCATCAAGAGATTTAAAGATAAGTTCATCTGACACAATCTATAATCGATCTTCTGTGAATATGAATAAAGAACATCTTCAACAACAGGATATTTACCCGTGTGTATTTAGCACTACTATCTTCGACTACGCCCTTCTAAACGTGCATATACGGCAAACGAAGTCTACCGTATGCAACGACACTATCGCATATGACATCCTTCAGGTTATTACTTTGTATGCACGAAGATGAAACAGTCTGGAACGCTAAAAGTTTCTGAACTATGTGTTTACATATTGTCTGGAATAAAGCCTCATTATTACTATTATTATATATTACAAGGTCGATGAATCTCAATCGACGGTTACTTTTATGTCATTTTATTTCACTTAGTCAGTTCTCTGCAGCTACAACCCCCCCTGCCCAATAATATTTATTTCATCCAATAACTAACTTACAGGTTGCAGACTTTCATCAACAGCTCCCTTCGCTCCACACTGAAGATCAAATAATCATAATAATAATATACTTATTCCAAAAACAGTACTTATAGTAGAGAATGGAATTAATTCTCAGCATTTGTCACAATATTCCATCTGATTTACTCAAAATATAAATAGAATTAACCACAGGAATTCGTCCACATTTTTGGTATAAAGTCAAAAATATTCCATGATCAAAATGAGAATAATAAATATAATAAAAATACTAATGAGTTTGTTTCAAATAGTATTGACGATTAAGTTTGAAAATTTTAGCATGTTACAGATTATTGAATCTAATGTTGTTTCGATATAGCAGCATGATGAGGGGAAAGATTTGTTTCTTCATAGGTAGTTTCTTTTCGTTTAAGTGCAACTTATAGTATGCTTTCATAATTTTCCTTGTCAATTGCTTCTTTCAATTTTTCTTTTGTTTCATTCATATCTTTCCTTATCGTAAATAACTAGCGTATAATACTATGTAGGTTTCCTTTGATGCATATTTTTGAAGCATGTGTGAACTCTGCATTTGCTTTATCAGTAGATATAAGTGATTTTAATCTCAAGTATACAGGAATAATTCCGTTTTTTAGGCATCAATCTCTCCCTCCACTCACCCTGTTACATTAGACTTAAAACTGTCATCTTCTCCCATCATCCTATTGTATGATTTTGTGTGATATTGCATGTAGTGAGTGTTATAGCTGAGCAATTCTCCAGATTTCTTATCTTATTCGGGTCGACTAATCTAGATTTTGCTGCTAGGTTTTTATGCCCAGCTAGTCTGACCGGCCCCTTTTCTACTTCTTTCACCTATGTACTACATGCAGTTACACACAACCATACAATAGGAGGGGTTAAGATGACAGTTTTAAAATCTAATACAACTAACAGGCTGGAGGAAGAGATGGATAATGGAAGCTTTATTTATCGAATCAACTGCAAACACGTGTAAATGGAAAGATTCAACACACGTCCACCCAGATATCTGGAAAATTCTACTACCCCTATGATGACGACAAATAGGAAAGAATGCAGAAAAGCATAAAACTCCCTTGGTTTGTTTTGGAAATTATGTACACTGAAATAAACAAATTCTTCTAATGTACACATTAATTCTCCCTTTCTTACTAGTCACTTTTACGAGAGACAGAGAAAAAATTGTATATAAATGCGATTGTGTAGATAAAGAAGAAATTGAATACACTGAAAACAGACACTTTACTGAACTACTTGTGGATGGGGATTATTCATGCCCTTAATTTTCCATCATTTCAGGTGGGGCTTCATTCACTATTGTCTTTTGTCTGCTGCATATTATTATATTTCAGTTATTGGAATATCATTAACACTACTGCTGTCTAACTATTTAATCGTCGTCAGTCGAAAGAAAAAGAAAATTAAGGGGATTGAAACGTGTAATTAACTGTTCGATGTCAGCTAATTATGTATATATATATATATATATATATATTAAAACAAATTTAAATGAGCTAAGTGCAATAAACTAATGGTGTTTTTGAGAATAACACAGGCGTCATGATGCCCTCCCTCCCTACATAGAAATTAGAAAAACAGCAGTGAACAAATGAACATACTAATGAATAACTTACAGGGTCAATTAAACCTTCATTCTGAAGAATTCGAATAGCTACTAGGAATGCAAACATTAATTTGTGCTTTTCAAATAAACTTCTACAGACATTATTATATAAGCTGAATGTGAAATAATCGTTAATATTTTTCACACGTTGTGGAACATGATCTGGTAGTAATAAGGGGAAAAAAGAAGAAGAGGGGAATTTATTGTATTTCAGATCAGATTAGAAAAGATCAGATCATATGATTTTATTATGAGTATAACACTATACTATACGCCTATGCTTACAAATGTACTAAACGTGGGAGTAATGAATGTAGCGAAGGTAAAAACATTTACCCAGATTGTGCATATTCATTTGGTTCCGCTTTCCGATGAGCTACCTAGTTACGTTTAGGCGTCATTTTCAGTGTCAATTCACAAAGATTAGAAATTCAGGAGTTTCAGCATTGTGTCACTTCGGTTACTGGGCTTTTTGCTTACCTAAGCTATATAAAAGCTTTACTGCCCACTCTTGAAAGAGAAAGTAGCTTACCAGTTATCAGGAGTTCAGTGTCTTTAATCCGGTAGGCATTCAAGTCCCCTGTTAACTGTAATTATTACCGATATTTTTCCATGTGAGGACAAGTTTGTCGGTCAGAGTGACTGACATCTGACATTCGAATAAGTAATGACCAAGTGTATTCTTAAACTATCATATCATCATCCCATATGCAAAAAGTCCTCAATAGCTTTATTGATTTCTATCGACACGGTGTATTCCAGTTGGAAATTAATTCTTTTTTCTAAAGAAATGGAAGTTTTAATTCCATCATACGATAGATAATCTTGTCTGGTCAAAACAACCACATAAGATAGAGAATTATTAGGGGAAAACTTTATTACTCATAATCAATATTAACTCTGTGCGTCTAATATTAGATCTCTTCAGAAGCAAAGTTGAATTAATCAGAGGTCAAAACATTCTACATGAGATCTGATAACAAGTGGATAATAACCCTTATTATCCGACCAGGTCAGTTGTGAGCTGCAGTACGTAAATAATAATTTTACCAGCTTGATAGTTATTTTACGATTTTATCAAGGGTACCTAAGTTTTGCTAACAGTAAATACATGTTCTACTGCTTTTCTTCAGTTTATAGGATTGGCATATTCAATCTAATTAGTCGTTGAGAAATGGTAGGAGAACTGATGACAACTGGTGCACAACTGCATTATAATGACGCAGATGCATACACTCCCCTTGTGACTTAAAATTTCCAATGAAACTATACTATTCTGCGTTATTACTGTTCCTATTGTCTCATATCCCTCCCTGTTTAATGTCTCTATTTTGCGTTTCTTCTTCTACTCTTGCTTTGTGTGCTACAAGAAGGGAGTGTGGCAACTTAAACTTCTGCATATCGGTGCAAAGTTTTTTGTCGAAACCACAGACAGACAGGCATTATAATGAATGTAAGCAGTTTTTGTGTTCATAATAAAAATTAGGTAGTAGTTGTAGCGCATTTACTGTCGATACGCTTATGAATTCATTATTCATTAGTGAAATACAAAGCTAAACATAAAGAGGTGAGAAATTAAAATAAACTGCGTATAGAGTAGTACAGCATAATGTACTGCAGGTACTCGTATTTATAATATGAAATTTAAATTTTTATATTTGAATAAGCCATTTAAAAGACAAATTTCGTGAGATGATATCTTCATTTCTTAATTTCGTTACAACCGCTTTACAACTAACATGGTTAACAATAACAAAATAAAGTTCGTGATAATTACTCAGTTAAATAAAAAAAACAAAAGTACATACTAATGACCAATCATATTTAAATAGATCAAGTAGTCAGGCCATGTTAGGCAAATTGGCCATTAGTATGTACTTTTTTTTTTTTTATATAACTGAGTAACTGTCATGAATTTGATTTTATTACTGTTAACCATGTTAGTTGTAAAGCGATTGTAATTGAAACTAAGAAATGATGATATCATCTCGCGAAATTCGTCTTCTAAATGCCCTCCTTATTCAAATGGAGTAATTGATTTAAATTGCCATAGTCAAAATAAGTTCTTATGTTAATCGACAAAGCTCGTGTCATCGTATTTGGGAGTCTTCCTACAATTACGTGAGACATTTTGTTCAGGAAACTAATAACTGATATCCGTTGCATGAAAGATGGCTGTCATGGTCCACTTGCCTAATAGCTAGTGCTCTTGTAACGACAGAAGACAAGGGCCAGGCAACTGATCGTTTATATTTATAGATTTTTAGGCACATTATTATTCGTTATTATTAGCAGAGAAACAGCGTCTTCTGACTGGTTGTTTTCTCGCTGAAAGTTATTCTGTCATCTCTTACTGGCCGCTTCTTTGAAGGTCATATCATATATCTGCTAATCGTATCCGCTCACACTAAGTCTGCTGTGACTGGTTGTTGAGTTCTGTAAGGTTAGATTTGGGACGTGAATTGCTGTCTACCAATTCTGGCTTGTAGACAGCTCTCACCACACTTTGTCTTTTGAAACGAGGAGTGCTGGGTTCCAGTCCCCTTGGGAACACCACCACCACTACCTACCTACATCCGGATAAAGAGTTGTAAACAGGACGAAACCTGCGTCTTGGATTCCAGCATTAGCTGCCATCAACAAAATGACATCAGATTAATTCTTCAACATCGTCGAAACGTTCGTCCTAGGAACCAGCGTGTCAAAAGAGATAGCAAATCTCAGCTTAACAAAGCCATACATTGCGGGAATTCAAAACAATAACTATAAAACAAAAATAAGGATAACTTGATGAAGCTAAAATGTTGTGAACTAACTCTAATAAAATAGTCTTACTCGTGAGTACGTACAAAAGTTTATACTTATCAAAAGTACTTTTCATTACAAAGAGACATAAAAGCTAAAAGCGACATTTCGTGTTTTTACCCACCAGCTCTTTCTGCATTGATTATTCCATTCAGGAAGATATTAACAAACCATTCAAGTGAATACTGATACATTGGATCGATGTTTGCAAGGTCAGAAACGCAGAAGAATAAAATTTGTGTTCTCACAGCCACAGGAATGTATTTGCTCCTAGTTTCATCGATATCGCGTTCCGTTTGTTCAGCGACAACAACTCTGGATTTAATTTCACTTGACTTTAGCTTGGATGCTTCGAGTGTTTGTATCAAATCGATATCATCAACAGGTGAGCCTTCAGTAGCGCTTAACCGTTCTAGTATTTTATCTTCAATTTCTTTCAATTCCTGTTTCATCTTTGCATTACTCACAATCAACTGGTTTTTAGCTTCTTCTAGATCGGGACGCTCTTCAGCCACTACAATACCCAACAGTTGGTCCTCTAAGCCACTTGGAGATAAGGTGAAGTTCACAAGCGTCACTTTAGTCGACAACTCAGGCTTGTAATGAGGATTTGGCAATTTGGTCGTGATATACAATTTAAAGTCATTATGATATGGAATAACAGCATCTCCTAGTTTGATAACTATAGCGCCTTGTTGTTTGTAAGTTTGTCTTAACAGAACAGGTTCTAAGACTGGATCTAGTTCTTCGCCAATATTTTCTATTAGGCATGGTTTACCAAAACGTAAGGCATTTTCTACATTACGTAGAAAATCTTTATCAGATAACTTGGTAACAATCATACCATCTTCTTGTCCAAGTGCTTTAATCCACTTATTGGCTTGTCCTTGTGGATCAATAAATAATGGCCATCTTCTTGAGAATTGGACAATCACAGAATTTTCAATAGATAAAACATCTTTAGGTAAGCCAAATATGTGCCAGTTACGCAATTTAACAGGATCACCGTATGTTTGGACTAAATTTGGCGCTGGATCTGTAGTATGCGGTACATGATGATGTTTCAACTTTCCCACCCATTCATTGATCATATCAGTACGATATTTACCAGAGAATGGTCCAAAGTAGGCTACAGACCCTGAGGAACAAAGTACATTTCCAACAAGATTGCTAAGTAGGTGATTAAGGTTAGCAACAGATTCATTCCATCGTATTTTCTCACTGCCTAATCCACCAATTAATTTATCAGCTCTGACTAATCTTGCCTCACAGAGTTGACTTTTCTCCTCCAGTTCATGTTGTTTACGTATACAGTCATCATATTTAGCTTGCAAGTTAGCAATGCGTTCTTCACAAGCTTTTAATCGCTCTCTTGCTTCAGTAAGAATCTTTTCAGTTTCAGCTAATTCTAATTCAGAGGACTGTAGAGCTTGACGCTTGGGTGCAACAGTTTTAGCCACATGATGATACTTGTACATAGCTCTAACCCACAAACAAATACTGGTGCATGCTTTGCTTACTTTAGCGATAGCCGCAGGCAGAAAACTTTCTGACTCAATGTATGGTTTGATTTTTGCAATGATGCTGTCTGGTATGTTATCCCTATCATAATTCATTAGACTATCTAAAAATTTCCCAGGATCTTGTAGCATAATTTTACCAGGTTCCCAGTAGTCATCAACTTTTACTCCAGGCTTATCGCCTGCCACTTTTTTCGGTTTCACATCCTTCATAATGCACACTGCTTCGATAACCAGACGTACACCCTCTGGAGGACGCATCATAGCTCTTACTTCAGTAATATCATTCTTATTCAGTGACTTCAGTGCTTCTAATGATTCGTAAAGAGCGGGTAGAGCCTCGTCTAGATCACGCTGAGCATCATCACGAATAGCTTCACATTCACGGGCTTTTTTCATTGCTTGTTGTTCTTCATGGGCAACAACCGACTGGGTTTCTTCAGCAATTTTCGAATCCCGTGTAATCTCTTCCATAGTTGCCTTCGATTCTTCAACAGCCTTTTCTAATTCCGGTTTCATAATTTCCAGTTCTTCTTGTAACTTGGAGACAACTTCTTCGGTGTGCAATAATTTATCCAAACCTGTCTGTGTACGATTTCGTGCTGCAATAATCTCTTGTTTTTTTATACCGTAAATTTTAGAGAAGACAGTCAATAATTCTAAAAAGCTTGTTGGCGTCACATAATTGTGACGATTTAATTCATGCTTGAATAATTCTGTATTTCTAACCACTGACTGATGCATATCAATACACATTTGAACTAATGCTTTGAGTGTCTCTTCGTCAACTTCTAAATCAGACATATTTTGTAGCATTCTCAATGCAACTGATTCAAGCGCTTCATTTGGCCATTCACTAAACCAATCAATAGTACAACAATTGACTAAGGCAGGGAATTGTCTTAAACGTGCACGAAATATTTCCCCGATAGGACTCATTGTAATTACTGTATGCAGGTTGGCTCGTACACGTTTAGTGTAACACGAAAATAAATTTGTTTTAGTCGGTTGTAGACCAGCTTCAGCGGCGACTAATTTCATGGAGTCATAGATTTTATCGAGTTCATCTAGTTGGTAGATATTCGGCACATCACCAGCATTTAGTATATTGTTAATATCTTCTAAAAATGATTCTGTTTTTATCTGTAATGAGAAATGAAAACCAACAAACAAACAAACAAGGAAATCAACAATCGTGTTACTTGTCTAGGCGGAAGTGAACTGCTTAAGAAAGAACAAGTTAACTCTATGCAATATATTTAAATACAAATTTCATCTTCCAAAAAAATCATTTTCAACTCCAATGTAAATTCAGTGCTACTTTCTATACGGATCAGAGACTTGGCCAGCGCGTCATCTCAAACAGCATCTCAAACAAACTTCATACCTTCATCAACAGCTAGTTGTCTTCGCTCAATACTCCGCTCAAGATCAGATGGCCGGCTGGCCAGAAAAGATCAGAAATAGGGAGGGATCTCTGGCAATGAGCGAACCAACCAACCAACCAACACAGCAGGAACCGATTGTGAAACAAATAGTCAGGAAGAAATGGAGATAGATTGGCTGGCCATACTCTGACGAAACCATCAAGTGAGTGACAACACTAGACAAGCCATTGGTTGAGTGGAACCAGGCCGAAAGGGAAGCGGGTGGCGAGTTGGTCGTCTGTGGAAGGGTGAGCGTGACTTGGAGGAGGTGATGTGAAGAGGAGATGAAAGTATGTGGGCAGACTTGGAGCGGGGTGAAAAAGTTGGCAGAAAACAGAAGGCAATGGAGGTGCGCAGCTGAAGCCCTATGTTCCTCTAGGAATTAAAGGATATAATAATAATAATAATTCTGCTTTGTAAGTTGCTGCGTGCATAAATTGTATTTTGGTCTTTTTTTTCAACGTGTTGTATGTAATCTGACTGACTTATTCATATTAACTATCCAAACGAAACTGGTGTCCAGATTGTCGCACAATATATTTATAACATATTGTCAGTAAGAACAGTTTACATGAGATTTTCAATGGTTGTTAATTGATGTTGTACAATGTTAGATATGACTTTTGTATAGGTTCTACCTTTGTATCAGATATGAATACATAGAAGTCTCTTGGATAATAAGTGAGGTCGGTTTATGCCATTGTTCATGGAAGGGATTGAACAGCTTAAAAATTTCAAATCCAAACACACACACTTCTCAATTGCCTTCTTCAATCAATGGTGATTGACTAGTAAGCAAAACGAACAGTTCCCGTTTTTCCGAATCCTTTGGGTGAATACGATATCAGACGCAGCAGTTACCTGTCTATTTCGTGCCCTGATAAGCTCTGAGATAAACATACAAAACATTTTTTTTAACTTGTAGTGTTACTTTAGTCTGGTTGGAAATCATAATCAGTTTTTCTCATTCGTTTGAGTTCCAAGTGAGGCATAGGGCTCCAGATTTGGAACCTTGAAGTTTCAGTAGCCGTGATATTATTTTTAAGGGATGGGATTGCTAGTCTGTCATCCAACTCTCTCAGACCTAATATCGGCTGGTAATCCAGGCGAAGTCCGGCAGTTCGTTGGCTCGGAATCAGCCCCAGAACAATGTGTGTTTGTGTGTTCTGAGAGCATTCAATCACTCAACGCTTGTTTTTGACTCATCATATCGTCAAGACAATGCAAGCATCCACAGGAAAGTGCCTGTAATTTATGACTCCTTGTAAGTGATCAAGATAGGCATTACTTTTGAAGACAGTCATACTGAAATATTAAGAAAGGCAGTATGAAAAGTACGTTTACTTATCAAAAATGGTATTCATACTTGTGTGTCAGAAAATAAGAATGTTACAGGCTTGTCTTCCATACCAGCTGTCATCATGATCTTTTTTAAATCTTCACGCCATTCATGCATACCATAATTTTTAGATAATTCAATTTGAAAACAATCGTATTCAGCCCTAAAAAGACAGGTAACATATAGGAGAGTTTTTAAAAGTAAGTAAGAATTTCAACAGGCGTTTTACACCTCAAAGTGACGCACATATTATCCACTATATATATATATATATATATTGCTATCCGTCCACCTTATGTTGCCTAGAGAGAAACACTCACACACATTCAAGCATTGGTCAGTTTCTGCTGGACAAATCTGACTAAAGAATAATACTTCACATGACATTGTCAGCTTATCAGCTGTATTAACATGCTATTGATTTTCAAAAATTTGAATTTTCGGTCATTTCATGATGAACAAACAATATGCATTCCTAGATGTTTCTCTGAATAGTTCATATTCTTCTTTTTGTAGCACATCAATTTTTTTCCAGGGACATTCGGAGACCATGTCTGTAAAAATCTAACTCCAGTATGGTATTATTATGACTCTAATTCCGATGTAGATGTTATCATGAACTAATGTCAGTTAGAGAGAGCCATTAAAAACAAAGGTGCACTTGACAGAAGTAAGAATTCACAGTCCACTGGATTCCAACTCAGTAGCTGACTGATCAACAGGTTTGTCATGCAACCTAAACTCTCTGGATTCGACTCCTGGTGAGATCTGTATTCCTTACCAGTGAAGAGTCTCAAATAAGGACACTAGTATCACTTAGTTCTCAATAATTTTCTAACTGTTATCACTGTATGACCAAAATCCACACTCAAAGTGGAAGCCAAAATCTAAACCATCATGATTAAATAGATCAATGGGGTGCTTTCTTTCTCCTTCTTAGCTTTTGTAAAGCAATGTTTAGATCAAAACTTATCTCTGTTATTCACTATTTGTTGTTTGCCGCGTTATATATGCAATAAACAGTTATTCATTGACAGGATTGACTAGACACTTTATTCATATTCACACACAAACTTATAAATCTTTGATGAAAAAGTACACGTACTTGAAAGAAACACGTTTTTCATTTATGGTATTAGAGATGATTGGAGGCAGTCGGCCAAAGGAAGAAGCCTTGGAGTTAAGGTTTCGTGCTAGTTGGTGGTCACATTACAACCTGACTGGTAGAATTCAGTCTACACCAATCAGACGACTAGACGCATCTCACACTAGTTACTAGTATCAAAGTAAAATAACGTTTCATTTATATCAGCAGTTTGAAGCAATGGAGACAGACATATAAGTCACACTAACAACCAGTTAAAACCAAAGTCATCAGAAAAGACAGTTATGTCATCCATGGAGAATTCAAAAACAAACGTTACAACACTGAAGGTGTCAAGCACCGCTACAACCAAATCGTATTAAGTCAGTCAGTCAGTCAATCACGTGATCACTCACATGTGTTGACAAGTAGATCAATAGACTGTTATTTCTTGTTAAAAGCAGACAATACAAAGTAATAGAAATACGTTAGGTGACTGTCTTCTTCCTTAACCCCTCCCCCCCCCCCGATATTAGTACCAAAATACATGCCAAAATAACTAACTATACAGAATCCAACATTATGAACTATTTTAACTTCAACAAATAAAACTAGGCTCGAGCCAGTATTATAGGATTAGTAGAAATGAAAGAGAGAATAAAGTAAACTTACATATGTGATGCAAGACGTGTTAAACACTGACGTCCACTACCACCCATACCAAGAAGTAGAGCATTACCCTGTGGCTGACGTATAATACGCGCTATTCGGCAGACATGTTGTATTGCGTACACGAATAAAATTAAATCCATTTTAGCTGTATTAATTTGATTATAGTCATCAAGATTTTCTTCGATTACCTGTAACACCTAAGACACACACACACACACGCAAATAGGTAAACAATTAAAAACAAAAAGAAACTATTGAAATGGTACACTCTGACTAGTGGATATAAGAAAAGAGACTTGATTAGGACTATGAGATTTGGATTCGGTTTGTTGACTGCATTCAGAATTCAGACAGAAAGTGACTCGAATTTTGTACACTTGCTGATAAAAAGACCCGTGTGACACAGAAGCCAGTAATATGTAATGCAGGATTCGTTGGTTTACACTGATAATCCAACAAGAGCCAACTAGTAATATTCTGCATGAATCTGTAGAGACACATTACCTTGATAATAGCGCTGAGCAGACAAGGAGACAAGATATACGTATTTAAGTCGACTGCTACAAACAAAGGTACACTGGGACACTGAGAAACCTCTCCTCTCCAAATTTTCATACGAGTAGACACTCATCTTCATTTCGGGCTAATGAGTTAAATGGGCTACGAGCCAGTTAATCAGTTATTTTTCAAATATTGACCAGGGTTAATCAGTCTGTCAAAGCTGCTAAACAAAGCAATTTAATATTTTTTTGGTAGGCGATATTGGATGCAGCTTTGATGACTAGTGAATAATGCGAATAAGAAACCGACTAAGTCCTGAGAAATGGCCAGTTCGGTGGAGCAGAAATGCTAACTCATTGAAATTGTCTATAGTGAGATGTCATGTAATAAGGCGTTTTGTAGCCGTACTTACAAGCGTTGTTTTCATTATTACATTGCTGTTATACGCCATATTTTCAGATATGACACTCACTATTTTAAATACAAAGCTTTGACTTAACCAGCATGACAATAGTGAGTTGTTGTCATGAGTTGTAAATCACTTGGTGTACAGATGAAGGGCTAATTGTTAGATAGTTGAGTAACTGGTTGGCCCATGCAAGGACTGACTCGAAATCAAGCTCATATTTGCTACCAACAAAATATTAGGCCCCGTCACCTTAGAAAAACCGAAAGATGCCTTGAATGCAGAGAAAAACAAGTCATACGTTGACTGGATTGCAACATTACGCACCATCGTCGAACAGAGCCTTTAACGACGGTCAACTCTTTGTCTCAACTTTAACCATCTCGAAAAGACTTTCAATAGCATCAACAGCAAGTAATTCGGCAACTGTTTCAGCACTAGTGAGTTCAGTGCTTAAAACGAATACGATAATAATGCTATACGCCGACTAATCCACAACGAAAATTTCACCTAAGCCTTTGAATTAAACGCAGGAGTAAGACATATCTGCCTACTATTACTAGTGATACCCTTGATTGTGTTGGACTGGATCATTCAGTAGACTTTAGCGAGTGGGAAACCTGACGAATCTTGTACGTACAAATACACTCTAGAATAGCTGGATTTCACAAATGATCTGTGCCTTGTGTCGCCAAAACTCAGAGATACTGAGGTGAAAACCGACATGTTGGTAGCAGAAGCAATGAAGACAGAACTTTAGGTGAACATACAGGAACGAGAGGTTGTAAACATACTTGATAAACAACAACATACACAAATTTTCATGAATGAGAGATATCGAATGGAACTCACTACTTTCATTACTTATCTGGAAGAGGCATAGTCAAGGATATCAGCGTCAACCGGTATCGGGTTGGGAAAGCAAGACAGGAGTACATTACTCTGAAGCCAGTATGAAAATCTATATTACTCAGCACAGAGAAAATAATTTGAGCTCTCAACATCAATGTCAAACCAGTGCTTCAGTATGCCTCAGAGACTTGGTGTATGCGTCATCAAAAGCATTTCTAACAGGCTGCAGATTTTTATCAATGGACTTTTCTCAATCCTGAAGACCAGATGCCTAGGCAGTCGGAAAGTATAAGCGAAAAAACTCCCGCAGATAGGGCACGAGCCTATAATTCATTACCCAACCAACGAATATGCAGAAGGAGGAGTAAATGAATTAGACATAATCTGAAGAGAACGGCGAGTAACATCATACGTCAGGCTTTCGAGTAGAAGGTGAATGGAAAGGGACTAGATGAATGTGGGTCAGAGGATGACATGAAGGAAATCATATTAGAAGCCAGTGAAAGATTGTGGTCAGTTTTGAAGGTAGTTAGAAAAAATGGCAGAGAACAGGATGCAATGGAGATGTGCTGTTTACGCCCTACATTCCACTCGGAACCAAGGGACGAATAACAATGATAAATTAATAATAAGTTGACCATCATTGCTCGTTTCGTTTTCTGTACATTGCTATAAAATACTCTAATTGTCTTCTAAAAGTGATGGTAAAATACTAGCTTAGATAAGGGGTGGAAAAACAACTTACTTTTGCATGGTCGGTCATTTCTGTGTACTTCCAGCCATCATTTGCAGCTGCAGACAAGAAGTCGCCATATAATAATGGAGTGGTCTTCACATAGTCGTTGACATTTAAGTTGAATGTTTCTTTCGATTTTTTGTCAATAAGATCATTGAACCAATCACGATCTTTGTCGTCAACCAATCTATCTTGAAACACACGACATGATTCGTGATACCATAAACGTAATAACTGTTCAAGACTTCCAGTTAAACTATCCGGTTCCAACATAAGCATACCTTGAAATACTTTAGATAAATCTCGTAGGTTAAAAGTATAATGACTTTTAGCTGGTGTAGGTAAAAGTTGAGTTTGAATTGTTTTATAGACTTGAATCGAAGCTTTGACTAAATCATCAGCGTAGGTCAAAAGTTTTGCTGCTGGCTTATCTGTACCTAAACGACTGAGCCAGGATTTCACTATTACACCAAATATCAGTTGCATGCTCAATTCATCTAGTTCATTATACGCCAAAAAGTTGAAGTGTCGCATCAGTCTAGGAGTGACTGGATTACGCCCTCCACCAGGTGGACCCATTGCACATATGAAGTTGACATCAACTAATTTACGGAATTCACCAATCAACTTGAGATCATACCAACCATCGAAATCCATCCATTGGCGTATTAATTCAATCGGTGGTTGTGCACCGAAGACTTCTAACGCTGGCATATTTAAATCGTCGATGAAAAAGACAATATAACGTCCCATAGGTGGACCGTATACATGCTTCCGGCGTTTATCTAATTTACTATCTATTAGGTCTTGTGTTTGCTTGGCTGTTGTCTTTGCACTGAATATTATAAATTCTGGTATGTATTCTTTAGGCATATAACGCGTTAATTTGTGTAATATTGTCATCGACTTGCCAGTCCCAGTCGGACCGACACACAGCACTGGCTTTTTAGCTAATAGAAGCATTTCAATAATATGACTTGATCTAACATTATCTATTGTTGGGACAATAATATCTGAATAACGGACTTCTGGTGCTATTTTAAATTCTGGCATATCCGCCATCCAATGAACCCAATGCATCTATAAATTATAAGCATATATACATAAAATGCAGAGTTAGTAATTTGTCATTCTATACAAAATTATAAACGTGAGTAGGTCTCATTATAGAAGATTTGATCTAATAAAATAGTCTGACAAAAACAGAGTAAGTAGATGACTAACGAGTCTGAGATGAGCAAAATGAACCTGACAGTTTCGTTACAGTATCTACAGGACCATGACTAACAAGCTTCATACATTTATCAACAACTGCCTTCGCTGGCTACATACCGAAGATCAAATGGCTAGACAGAAAGAATTAGCAACAAGAAATTCTTGTGATGGACAAACCAGCCAAGAGCTGATTGCTCAACAAATATGTAGTAGTAAATGGAGATGTATGGGGCATACTCTGAGGAGACCGTTGAATGACACTGAGCGTCAGGTCATAGCTCAAGTGGAATCTCAATGGGAAATGATGAGTGAGTCGTCCGAGAGTGTCGTGGAGGAGATGAGAGATTATGAACAACGCTTAATTTGTCACTAGTAATGCCTGTTGGAAAGAAGAGGGTCAAGTAGATATGACTGGACAGTCTGTTCAGCGTTTTACTGAAGTAATTAGGATAAACCAACAGAGATGAGCACATTAAAGAGACTGAGACTATCGGGAAGTTGAACTGTTAATTCAGTTTTTGATGAAAAGAATGAGCATTCTGTCTCTGGTCGTGTCTGTTACACATTTTCACTTTTGACTTTTTCCATTACAACCTATCAGATAGATGACTGTGGCTGCTGTTTAACATATTTCATTTTAGAACTTTAATTATTTTGCAAATTATTTTGAAACTTCAACAAGGATAATGAATGAGAATTCGTTGTATCCAAAAGTCTCTATAGCTTTTGCCGTTATCAGTTTTATCAAATACTTCTAATAGTTTTGATGAAATATATTATAGGCGAATAATTTATCTAATTTGATTTTTACTGAAAATCGGTCAAACAGGTTCACCTAAAAAATTCCCTAGAGGAGATCAAAAGATAAATAGGCTTAGGAGAGTTAAATTGACGAAATGAAACGAGTTGCCGGAATGCTTGACCTATCAACCTGCTTAACAGGTGATCATCAATCAACTTTTATCCATATGTGATATGCATAGATCACTTTCACTATTTCTCATTGAAAGTGAAAGGATATCATTTAAATGTCAGAGAAACGCAACTAAAAATGAGTATAATTATTATCCACACTGATTGGCATAACAACCGCTTCATCGACATTTAAGTTTACTCGGCTAACTGATAGATTACTCATACAGAAACATAAACGTCAGAGATGGAGTGATTAGTAGTAACATCCACAACATATCTATTATTGTCACAGTGACTATCAAGAATAGCGGATTGATTTCCAGTTAGCTGACTTATAACAGCAGTTAATCTGCAGAGACATTTATCTCATCTTCTTAGTAGGCAAGTTCAGTGCTGGTTATATTGAACGGTTTAGTTTAGACACTGTTAGACGCGTTGTTTAGCCCCAAAATGCTAAAAGTTTTGCATATTTCACACTGTAAATGTGTATTTTTTTATTATTGCTCCCTTGGGTTCCTAGTAGAACATAGGGCTTCAACTGCACGTCTCCATTTTCTTCTGTCTTCTGCTATACTTTTCGCCTGCATCCATGTTAGTCCATATTCTTTCAACTCCTCTTCACACGATCTCCTCCATGTCACCCTTAGACATCCCACACGCCACTTCCCTTTCGGGTTCCACTCGAGGGCTTGACGCGCGATGTCACCCAGCGGTCTCCTCAGCGAGTGTCCGATCCATCTCCACTTTCTCCTGCATATTTGTTGGTTGGCGATTGGTTCTTGCTTTGTTTGTTCCCATAATTCCTTGTTGGTGATTCTTTCCGGCCATCTGATCTTCAGTATTGAGCGAAGACAGTTGTTGATAAAGGTCTGCAGCCTTTTGGAAATATTCTTTGTGACCCGCCAAGTTTCTGATCCGTATAGAAGAACTGACTTTACGTTTGTATTGAAAATCCGACCGAATTTTGTTGGTGATGCTGAGTGACGAAGATTTCCAGATTGATTTCAGGCTGATGAATGTGTTTCTCGCCTTCCCACTTCTCGCTCGATTTGACATCCTCGTCCGTTCCGACTTCCTGTAGTTGAGACGATGCTCCCTAGATAAGTGAATGAAGTAACCTCTTTCAAATCCCTACCGTTGATGGTGACTGACGCTGGATGTTGCTGCTGCTGTTGTTGTTGGCTGGTTATTTTCATAACCTCCGTCTTGTCTATGTTCACTTGGAGTCCTGTCTTCGCCGGCTGCTTCTTCGACCAGTTTGTCGTCTTTCGCTTGTAAGTCTTCGATTGTGTGTGACATCAAACATAAATCATCCGCGAAATCCAGGTCTTCTAGGTTCTTCACGTCAGTCCAGGATATTCCTGTCTTCTCGTTTCCCACTGACTGTCTGACGAATAATCCAGTCAGTTCACCACAATTAGGAATATCATTGGTGATAGTAAGCACCCTTGTCTGACTCCTGTGTTTACTCCAAACGCCTCACTGAGTGAGTTTTCCGTTATGGATCACTTGACATGTTCCGTTGTCGTACAGCTGTTGAATAAGGTTGATGAATATTTGGGGTACGCCATAGTACTCGAGTAATTTCCAAATTACTTCACGGTCAATGCTGTCGAAGGCCTTCTCAAAGTCTATAAAGTTGAGGAAGAGGTTTGATTGCCATTCCATGCTTTTTTCGATGATGACGCCTAGAGTTGCAATTTGGTCAGAACGAATTTTCCTGACTTTCCCGAATGCAGCCAGCTTGTTCTGGTCGGAGTTCTGTCTCCAGTGCGTCCTTTAATCTCTCCAGGATGATGCGACTCAGGATTTTACTTAGCGTCGATAGAAGCATGATTCCTCGCCAGTTCTTGCAGAGTCCTAAGTCGTCCTTCTTTGGTAGTTTCACGAGGTAACCTTTCCTCCAGTCAGTAGGCACCTTTCCCTCCTTCCAGACCTTTTGCAATAATGGAGTCTGCATGTCTGCTGTAGTCTCTGGGTCCGCTTTCAGTGCTTCAGGGGGTATTCCATCTGGTCCGGCTGCTTTTCCAGCTTTCAGAAGCTTGATTGCGTCCAAGACTTCAGCTGTCGTTAAAGGATTGGTGTCAACTTGCAGTTTTGTGTGCGCTGTTGTTGGTATTTCTGGACGGTTCGCAGGTGATGGTCGGTTCGAGAGACCTTTGAAGTGATCCGCCCATTGTTTAATCTGTTTTTCTTCCTTGGCAATCGGGTTCCCTTGGCTGTCTTTTATAGGTTTCGCTTGTGTTGGTCTCTTCCCGGATAGAGATTTGGTTATCTGATATAGTGTCCTCAGGTCCCTTTTGCCTGCTACCTTCTCAGCTTCAGTGGCGAGGTTGTCGTAGAATCGTCTTTTGTCCTTCCTAGCAATCTTCTTCACTTCTTTGTCCAGTGCACAGCTGTGTAAGTTGAGCTCGTCGACTCCTTCTCCTGTCCGTCCTTGCATTGAATCATTTTCTCTTTCACCATTCTCCTCTCTTCTATTAGCTTCCAAGTGTCCGTTGAGAGCCATTCCTTGTCTTGCCTCTTCTTTCTTCCTTGAACCGTTGAACACGTTTCGTTGAGAATCGCCTTCAGAGACTTCCAATGTTCTTCCACGCGTGATTCTTCAGTGATGTCGCGTAGTGTTTCCTGCTTTGCTCTGACAGTTGCAGTGAAGGTGTCTTTTGTGGTTTTGTCCTTCAGTTTCTGAGTTTTGAACTTGCATTGTGGTCTATCTCCAGCTATCCTCGAGGCTTTTAGTTTCACCTTGAAAGTCCCTTGTACAAGATAGTGGTCTGAAACCACATCTGCTCCTCTCCTTGACCTTGTGTCTAGTAGGCTCCGTCTCCACTTTCTTGAAATTGAGATGAAGTCTATTTGGTTCTTGGTGTTTCCATCTGGTGAAATCCATGTCGTCTTGTGTATATCCTTGTGTTTGAACACACTACCACCAATCACCAAATCATTGAAGGCGCAGAATTCTGAGAAGAGTCCACCATTGTCGTTCATTTCGCCGAGGGCCTCACGACCCATGGTGAGTTCTCTTCCTGTGTTGTCTCCTCCCAGCTTCGCATTCATGTCGCCCATCAGGATTTTGATATCGCCATTTGGGACGTTGTCCATTATTGCTTGTAGTTGTCTGTAGAACGCCTCCTTCTTCTCTTGTTCTTAGACGTTTGTAGGCGCATAGCAATGACATTGAATGACTGTAATTTTCCTTCCTTTTGAGTTGAACCTGGCTGTCATTATCCTGGAGGAGATTGATTCCCACTGCATGAGAGCTTTGGTTGGTGTTGGTGACATGATGATGGCCACTCCCTCGGTGTGCTCGTGATTATCCTATGGGTGATCGGAATAGATTATTGTCTCTCTCCAGTTGATAGTTGGCACCTTCCACATCCGTTGCATCTGCTCTCGCAGATTCCCAACACTTCTATTCTGTACCTTCTCATTTCAGTGACTATCTGGGCAGCCTTTCCAGTTTCGTACATTGTGCAAACATTCCAGGTACCCATGCTTACTTTTGCTTTCATCGAAAGAAGGCACATCGGCTGACTGGCTTCCCGAAGGCTTTGACCGGCCTGCGTCATTTCACTTCCCCGATTCCGGCGAAAAGTAAGGCTATTGCTTATATTTTTAGAATTTTTAATATATTAATTCGTTGAAGTTTCTGTAGCGATTTGGTTGATTTACAGGGGTGAAGTTGCTAGCACCACGCCCCAACCCTCCCTCTTTACCCCGGCATGGGACTGGCGAGAAAACTAGTAAGCTAGTAGCCTAGCAAGCTAGTATCTGGCGAGGTTCTGTGAATGTATAGCAAGAGTATATAAATTACTGTTGTTGTTGTAAAGTTTGATTATCACCTTTCTGTTGGCAAAATTGTCTTCATCATCATCGTCTCTCGCCTTGAGTGACACAAGACCATCATCTTCAAAACGATAATCGTAGACTAATCCTTCTTCAGGGAATGG